TGTTCACACTAGTATAGATATCGTACAGTATCATTGATTGGTCAGAAACCGGTCTAAAACTAAATTTGACACGTTTCAGCCAATCAAAACATAGTTTATGCAATCACATGTTTCAATGAACTGAGGAAAGTTTCTTGAAAACTTAACTGAGATAAAATTAATATTTGAAGAAATATACTAATCTGATTGGTCAATGATATTAAATTTATAATTAATTTGACCAATCAGATTACTGGAATACTAAAATTATCTTAAATTATGTTTTCAAGAATCTTTCCCAAGGTGTATAGAATTAGTAAGAGCCTTAGGGTAGAAATTCGTAGAAAAATAGCAGCTATATTTGCAGTTAGATGTTGTAGTTTGCAGCTAAATGTGTAGATGTCAAATTTATCCTGAAAATGTCCCAATTACAAGTTTTTAAACTTTATTATCAGTTTCCAAGATTTATTTAACAAAAATAATATGCATTTTGAAAAATGTTTTAGTAAAAGCGAACAACTGAATGCAGGGTTTTACCTGCTTCATCAAATAAAATTGTGAAACAAGGCCCTGTGCTGTCATCAGCATGACTTCACAAGGCCCTGCTTTGTCTTGTCAACATGACTTCACAAGGCCCTGCATTGTCTTGTCAACATGACTTCATAAGGCCCTGCATTGTCTTGTCAGCATGACTTCATAAGGCCCTGCATTGTCTTGTCAACATGACTTCACAAGGCCCTGCATTGTCTTGTCAACATGACTTCATAAGGCCCTGCATTGTCTTGTCAGCATGACTTCATAAGGCCCTGCATTGTCTTGTCAACATGACTTCACAAGGCCCTGCATTGTCCTGTCAACATGACTTCACAAGGCCCTGCATTGTCCTGTCAACATGACTTCACAAGGCCCTGCATTGTCCTGTTAGCATGTCTGTTTAACCCATTCTAGTTCCATCTTTTAATGCTAACCCCATTGTTTTTATATGCTTTAAACCATCACTGTGGTGAAAGTAATGCCAAGCTTTATTCTGTTTGCTAACTGAAGTTGGAAATCAAAATAAGGTTTTCAAGCAAGACCATTCCGTTTATCAAAATCTTGTCTGAAGAATGACAAAATGAGTAATTGTTTTATAAAAGTGGACTCCTTCAAAGAGAAGTACCATCAGATGCTTTTATTCATCCCTTTCTAAATTCAGAGAAACCCCGTAATCTTTATCAATGGAAAGATAATCCTTTCACTGGTTAAGCTGAGTAAATGTCTTGAGCTCATTTCATCTTCCGGACACATGATTCTGATAAACAACCCTCATCAGGAAAGCTATTTGGCATTACCTTCACATTATGCTTTGATTGCTAACACCGATGTTCTGTGATTCTGTTTCTTGCTTCTTAACACTTCACTCTTTGATATAGATATTCCTGAAGAGCCAGAGCTAACTACACCAGACCCTGAAGTCTCTGAGAATACAGAGCTTGAGTCTCTGCCCCCTCCTGCACCAGAAGTATTAGCCCCTCAAGAACACGAAACCCAGAACGTTCACGAGCCAGAAGTGGAAGCTTCTCAGACGCCAGAAGTCTCTGCTCTTCCGGAGCCAATCAGCTCCGAACCCACTGAAAAAGAAGATCATGAAAATTCTCGTAATATCTCTGAAAATGGTAATATTTTGACTAATTTCTGTATTACATCCGTTTTTATTAGAAAACTTGTTAGCTGCACCAAATTTGATTTCTGACCTTGGAATTCTTTTTCAAGGTCATATCTTTGACTCTTGTTATTTTTGTATAATTTTTTTGGTTGAAATTAATCCTTTTTCACCATTAACTTGAAGTTTTTAGTAGAATACTTGAGTTTTTTTCCATTTAAATTTCAACTTTTATTTGTTGTTGACCTCTTTCACATGTGACCTTGACCCTTAATCTATAGATTTAGATTGTGTATCATTTTGCGTGATATATTTCAACTTGTATTCATTGAAGGTATATACTTTATTTTCAAAAAAAATATTTAAGATCCCCCTATTTTTGATTTTTAAAACATATTTTTTGAAGAAAGTGGACTCAAAGTGTTCGATTTTTACAGTCGCTATGTTTCAAAGAGTTTCAAGAGAAAATGAATATCAGTCACCTTTCAATGATGATATTAAGCTCCCCTAACATATCTGTCTCTTTCTCCCTTTTAGTTCAATAGCAGCTTTTTCACATAGAATTTTGCTTCAATGACACTTTTTTGCATGTTAGTGCTTTTTTCACCTAAAACAGTTCTAATTTGAAACTCCAAATTTCCACTTTTTCCATTTCACAGTTTTGTTAAATCTAATTAATTTTTCCATTTTTTCATCTCCATTTCTAAATTAATTTTTAAAAATGTTCATGTTTTATTTTATGTTTCTAATTTCTTTGTTTTTAAAACCATACCTTTAACATAATAATAATTAAAATCAAGGTTGGAAATCAATGGATGAGATCCAAATAGTTTTTCTGAAAAAAATACACTTTGCATTTTGTCATAAAGTTAACTCCTTTTTTGGCTATATAAGTACTAGTCTCATCATACTTTAGATTTTTTTTGTGATAATACTTTGAGAAAAAAGTTAAAAAGAAATTATTCTCTGAAAATGAATTTTTGTATGGTTTTAAAACTATTCTACCCAATTGTTTACAAAGAGATGGAGAAATTTCTCTTTTTAACACATTTACCATCAGAAAACAAAGTGATAAAGTGATCATATGAAATATATCAGTGAAAATTTGGTCACAGGAAATTTATCGCAGCGAAACTTTCCTCATTGTACATTGCATGGTGTTGCCCGTCTTCATTACTCAAATAATTGAAAAAGAGCAGGCTAATGCCACTGTCCTGGCAAAATTGCACCCTGCATGGCGTTTCCTGTCTTCATTAGCCCACATGGTGCAGAAAAGTAGGACGTAAAACTCCATTCATTTCATTTCCCAGTTATTAGAAATAAAGAGCAAATTTCTCCATCTCTAGACCTATGTTGATATTATTGCATGTCCTGTTCTGTTTATATCCTATATTTCTCTAACCCCTTTGTTTAACAGAAGCAACTGAGACTGTCCGAGAAAGGGAACCCACACCCGAACCCGAGCCCGAACCCGAGCCCGATCATCATTTTAACACATACGAAACTACTGAAACAACTTCCGAAAATATTGATTCAACCACTGAACATGTCGAATCAACTTTCGAACATGTCGAATCAACCGGTATTACTAATGATGAGCCATATTATTCCAGCGCCGAGCCGGTTGTTTCTAACGGCAGCGATGATTATGAAAATGGTAAACTTTGCGTTAAATTAAGAGTGAAAAAAAAATAACAAAACTTTAGCGAAAGGGTACTAACATGTGTGTTTTCTTCAGAATTAACAAGATTCTCTGGGTGGTATTGCAATGTGAATAATTGGACGCTATTTGTGGGTGAAAAATACATAAAGATACTTTGTTTCAATTATGGTAGTTTTACATCAGATCTTGAAATGTTTCGATATTTTTTTTTTTTTCTGATCCTTGTTTTTGAGAAGTTGGCCATAAGAATTCAAAGGTTTATTGTAGAAACAAATTTTATTTAAAGTAATTGTTTGCCACAAAATTGTCTCCAATTATTCACAACCAACTAAATATACATCTTACTTTTTTATCTCTTTCTTTGTATACAACTCTTAAAAGACATGCTTTCAAAATTTTGTGTTTTTAGGTATTTTCTTGAAATTTAATTAAATAGTTAAAATATTTCTTAAATTCCAAACATAACTTAAAAAATGAGTGAAACCATATTTCTTTTAAAAGATGTTTGTATTCAACTTTTATGTTTAGTGTTGCTTTCAAGTTAGTGTCTGTCTTGTCTTGTTATATTTTTAGCTTTTACATTCCTTATGAAGAATTTTTTCAAATTATTTATATATTTTTTCAAGTAGAATTTTTAAATTTTTTGTTAGTTAATTAAATTAGTTAAATAATCAAGATTTCTCAAAAGCTATTTTCTTGCATTTTTGCAATATACCAACTTAAAGATGCACATTTCTCTGGTGGAAGGAATTTAAAGAGTTATAGAATATTTTAAGGAAGGTGCCAATGCTCTAGAAGCTTGGAAACTAATGAGGTGCTGGAACTGTCTGAAGATGAATGTTGGAAATGGTCAAGCATTAAAATAACCAATGGAATGGGAGGCTAGGCATCAAATGCATGATTAACACTGATGGGAAGGGTTTAAAAAATGCTAAGAATATATTTTTTTCTGTTGAAAATGAAAACAAGTTTTTTTTAAACCAACATGGCATCGTTGCATGACTAAGTATAATTTGTGTTGTTTTATCATATAAGCTATCATTATATACAATGTCGTTATATATATGTCTGCATTGTGTGAAATATTAAGATTTTGTGTCGATTTTGAAAAGTTTTTGTGTGCATCATCCATCATTATATATATACAAAGTAATAATTGTATGCATATATTATATTTTCAAGTGTAATGTTACATATTATGTGTGCTCAATATATCGTATAATCTTAGAGGAAAATATTTGCTTTGCTTTGAGTCAATATCTTTATTTCAGAGAACTTTTTTCTTGCAGCTTTTTTTTCCTATTTAGCGGTTTTTTTTAAAATTCTGTTTGAGAAATTTGGATATTAAACACAAAATATTAATTATTATGTTTTTTGTAATTTTTTTTCAATAATTTTATATTTCAATTCATATTTTAAAATTAATTTAAAAGCATGAAATTGAGTTATTTCCCCTTGTATTCCCAGGGTAGGAATTAACAATCTTTTTGCAGTGATATTTTGTTGAAAATTGAAAACTTAATGTATGTTAACAAGCATTTAGGTGTAAATAGATAAGGCATAGTACAGGATTATGAATACAGTAGAATATAGAAGTAGTAAAAATACTTCTGAAACTCGTTTGAATACAATGGGGACATGTTTCGCTTCTATTTTATACTGTATTAAATATCCTACCCTGTAAAACTTACTGTCTCTATTTGCCTCTTATTGAAGTATTTTGCCGTGTGTTTTGTGGATTTGAATGTTAACTAATCGGAATGCTTAATTTATAGTGTCTGAGGTGACCAATCATACAGTAACAGAAACCTTCACCACAGAAACTGTACAATCTACAGAAACAGTGCCTCAAGTTGAAAATGGTAAAAATAGATTAGAATCTGTAGTTTTCTAGTTGTCATGGTGATTGGGCACTCTTTCATTTCTTTATAGACTCTTTCATTTCAAACTAAAATTGCACTTATTTTCATGGTGATCGGCCACTTTTTAGATTCTAGACACTTAATTTCATTCATTCTATAATTACATTTATCGTCATGGCAATAGGGGACATTGCTATGTAGACACTCTTTCATTGCTATGTAGACACTCTTTCATTTCTATGTAGACACTCTTTCATTGCTATGTAGACACTTTCAGTATAGTCTTTCTATAGTTACACTTAATGTCATGGTGATAGGATACACTTTAATTTCCAGGTAGACTTTCATTTCATTCATTCTGATGCTGTTTTGGGAAATAATCCAGGAAAAATTGGCCATTATTTTTGCAAAATGGAAGTGGATAGGGTGACAGCAGACTTCAAGGAAATGAAATGGTGTCTCCCACAGCATAAAATGTGCAGAAACTCCCTGGCTTCTGTGTGGCTTCACCCCTTGAACCACACCAGACACCATGGGCCATTCAGCTTCGCTTGCTACAATTTGCTGTCCACACTTCCCAAAAGTTCTGAAAAATGGATTCAATGGTCACTTACATTTCTGATAACCCTTTCCATGGCTGTAGGTGAAACTTTTACGTGAAGTGTGATGTACCAACTTGGTCTTTCTAGGTTATATGATGGTTGATATTGTGTTATATGTACAATATCTGAAGTATCAATTTTATTCCCTATAGACTAATATTTGTCAGATATCAATAGAGAAGTTGATATATGAAACCTTTTAAAGTCTTCTAGTGACCTTGTCACACACAAAGGTCTGTCTGTAACCCCAGCATTTTCAGTTGCTCATCTTGGAAGGTATTTAGTTTTTCACATTGTGTTGTTTTAACTCAATTCCAATTCATATGAATTTTTAAGTACCCATATCAGTTTTGTTCTCTATGAATACTTATAGCTGTCAGTGACCGAGTGGGTCCTAATAAGGTAAGAGTTGATAATATGTGACCAGGTATTAAGTTGCACTGCCCAGTAATAAGCTGACAGTGAAGTATTAAAAGGGGACTCAAATCTGGATATCAAATTGACTATATCATCTGAACGGAGAAAGCTATTGAGATGGAATTGGTATCAAAATGTAGCTGATGATGCCAGGAATCCAAATATACTAATACACAAAATGCTACTTAATACCTGGTTTGATGTGCAGGGTCACCTATACCTCTTTTTTTGGCCGTTGGTGACCTCTTTTGATCAGAAATTTGATGTTCCATTTGACCTTTCTAAGAATATGATAATTGGTATAGTATTATATGTAAAATATGTAAAGTATCGGTTTTGTTGCCTATACATACTAATCTCTGTCAGTGACCCAGAGAGCCTTATTCAGGGGAGTATTGATATAAAATAACAAGAGATAAGGGGCTCTACAGACCAGTATAGGAGGCTTTATTGATATATTGTTGAGGTCTGGTCAATATTTACCAACAAGTATACTATATTATATATCTGTTTTCACTTGTTCTATTGAAGTGTCAGTTTTAGTTTCTGGTAACCTTGTCAAATATCATCAGTTGCCTCTTGTCATTCAGATCAAACTGTCCATTTCTAGATTTCTCAACAGCCACAATGGCTTTATTTGACACTAGCTTTCCCTATCCCAAAGTAGCCTTATTGGCTCTACTAGTTATACACTTGTTGATATTTAAAAGTGGCTCAGTTAGTGTGACACTCTGTCTCTATATCTTTTACATTGTCACAATGGGTCAGTTTTGTACTTTAAGCCTTTGTTTCCTACATTAGTCCCATGGACTTGAATTGCACCTTTTTTGTTAGTTAGATACTTTCTCAGAGCCTCTCTTTATCAAATTATATCTTGTGACAAGAATGACTCTAACTCGGAACATCTCTTTTCTAAGGAGACCCTTTGGTTCATTTACTTTTCATAGAATTCAGTGTCTTGAAGTCTTTCTTCAACTAGCATGCTTCCTTACTAATACATCTCGAGGTTCATACCACAACCTTTACATTTTTTCGGGAGCCGTGATGGCTCAGTGAGTTAGACGCTTGCTCGCTAACCTGAAGGTCCAGGGTTCAATCCTGGCATAGGTCAAGATAATAGCTTCGTATTTTTCAACCCAGTTTCCCCCTGTCAGTGATGCAGACATGCTAACATGGAAAAAGCGTCTAGTGGCGTTGCCCGTCTTAATTAGCCCACATGATGCAGAAAAGTAGGACATAAAACTCCATTCATTTATTCATTTAGATTTTTTCAATGAAATTCCATTCCAATTTTCAATGTGTGATTCAGGCCAGGCATATGTAACATCCCTCAAAAGTTCAACCTAATTGGATAAATCTAGGTCACAAGTAGCCTATTGAAATGTAAAGTTACAGATATTCTTATCAACTACTTATACTAGTGTATATTTGCATATATTAAAATTAGGTCAAATATTCAAGGTAGGGTACAATCTCAACTTTTAGTTATTTTTATCACAAAAAATACCTCAAAAATTTATTGTAAATTTGATCCAACATAGCTAATAAAGATTTCATTTGATTGGCCTAATAAGGTACAGAACACTGAGACATAAAATTTCATAAGTTTGGCAGAGGGTTTTTTTTGGGGGTGGGCCAATGGTCCATACTCCTACCCCCTCAGGTTTTCAACCCGGTTTCCCCCTGTCAGTGATGCAGGTAAGAGGGGCTGACATGGAAAAAGCGTCTAGTCGTTCGGATGGGACAATAAACCGAGGCCCCGTGTGCTACAGGCTGTGCACGTTAAAGATCCCTCGACAGTTGGAAATTGAAAAAGAGCAGTCTAATGCCGCTGTCCTGGCTAAATTTCCCTCATGGCACCCTGCATGGCGTTGCCCGTCTTCATTAGCCCACATGGTGCAGAAGAGTAGGACGTAAAACTCCATTCATTTCATTTTCATTTACCCCCTCAGGCCTATGAAAGGTTTTATTTTGAAGTAAAAATTAATCCCTTAAAATGCTAAAAAATCATCTCAAGCCATTTGAAATTCATTGGCTTCTAGGGGCTTCTGACCTTCCAGCCTTAAGTGGCTTTGGCCCCCCTTAAGGCGTCACCTAAGAGAGACACCTTTCATCTCCCCCCCCCCTCTCTGCAGGCATTTTCTAGATGTACCCCTGATAACTAGATTCTCAAAACATGATAGGCCAGAACCATTGACAGTTTTAAAATAAAATCTAGACATAGTCTTGTCTATTTTTTGGTGAATCAGGCCCCTATATTTGCTGATAACTGATTGACAGTCTGTAGGGACTATGTCAACATGTCCTTATCTCTAGCAGTCTATATATTAATATACAATATACTAATTCATATCTATATTGGTCATATTTCAATGATATACTGAAAATATACATCTTTATATTCACTTTAAGTAAACTGATAGTCTAGGTTGTCAGTTGAATATCAACTAGGTAGACAAAGTCCTAAAGATATTGAAAAAATAATCTCCCAAATAGATGCTTTGGCCAGACATTTATTTTTTAATGGTGTACAAACTGACAGTCTTATTTTTAAAGAAAAGAAATTCCCTGTAAACTGAATTTATTATTACTTTCAGAATATGTCTGAATAACCTTTAAAATAAATTTCCCATTTTGAGCAACAATCTTTTTAACCAGACAATAAATAAGTTTCCCTTCAGGTGTATATGTATTTGATCTCATTAGTTCTATATGGTGCAGTACTCAATAAGGTACAGAATAATAGGATATATAACTTTTAGATCATTAGGGTCTGCATTCTGTGCTTTTTAATGGTTCCTTGGGTTATTCTATGTAAGGACAAAATAGTGCAAGAAATCCACAGATCAATACATATAGATAGCAATTTTTATCTTTTAGGACACTGACTGACTTCAAGAAATTTAACAGATTTTAAAATTTCATCTGTCTTCAAGCTCAATGTTGACATTACAAGTGAGGAGTGAAAAAAGGAGGTGTCTGTAGACAAATAGTTTTAATCCTTGGTCAAATACTGTCACGTCTGCCTTGGATCTAGTGATAATAGTTGAAGTTGTGTTGTTTTGGTGTTTTAGGATTAGATGTTTTGGGGTAGAATCAACTTTTTTGTCTCAATGTTTTAACTTGATTTATGTCCAATTTTTCTCTCTGACCTTTCTCTGACTTTTCTCTCTGACTTTTCTCTCTGACTTTTCTGGGTTGACTTTTGATAAACTTTTGTCTCTGAAATTTTCGCTTACCTTGACAAGAATTGAGAGCTGGCTACCGGCAAGCTATTTAGCTATATTTGTCATTGGTTTCATGTACAATGGTAAATAGAAATAAAATAGAAAATGAATGATGAAAGGGTCACATTAAGGTGATTTAAATATATATAAAAAGGAAATGAAATAAAAGTAATCTTTACTACATTAAAGATAATAGGATGCTTGTAAAATAATTCTAGTCTCTTATTATTGTAGTTCCCTATTTCAGTCCTGTTTTAAAACACTGTTGGATTGTTTAAGTACTTGCGGTAATGAATTCCAGAGTAAACTAGCCTTGTATTTAAATGTCCTTTTCATGGCCTCAGTCCGGCACTTGGGAAGATGTAATGAATTTTTTTTTTTCCGAACTTAGACAGAGAGTTGTGGTAGAAATTGAAGATTGTAACCGAAAATAATTTTGAAAGTAGCATGCTTAATAGTAGATTGTTAGAGTGTTTTCTATTATAACAATATTTACTTTAAATCAATCAAATTAATTTCTTAAAACAACAAAAAATCTTCAAAGATATTTACTACAAGCCAACCTGATTTTAATTTTTCATCACAGTATTTCAATTATTAATCCAAATCATCTGATTGCTTGAGATTTCATTAGAATAGTCGTTTAACTAAAGTTTGTTAACTTGCAAGTTGCTTGCAGTTTGCTCTCTTTGGATGAGAAATGTTTACCAGTCGCAACTAAACTTAGGAGGGAGACCATGGATGGTTTATCTTTCCTACTTTTAGACGGGCTAATTAAGAAATGTAAAAGCCTCTAGATTGTACATTATAACAAAATTAGATTGAACTAATTATTTCAGTTAATCCGTTGCTATAGATAATTAGATTTAATTGCTTCTATATTCTAGTTTTAGCATTATATATTGTATTTTCAGAAAAATTTTAAATCTTTTAATTCTTTTCATTTCCTCCCCATTGTGAAATTATTTCAGTTTGTCAATTGTAATGAAAAAATTATCACATGGCTTGCTTCTGGCGAAGAATTGACTCATGAATAGATTAATTCCTTTTATTTTCCCCATTGAGCTATATGAATATTGAAACATAAAAATAAAATAAATAAAACAATATTTTCCACAGGAGAATAATTAAGTATATTTCTTACTATCAATGAAATGCATGTTTTGTGGATTTTACTACTGCAGACTTATGGCTGTAGAAATTTATCGTTTTTCTTTGCCTTTTGATTATCGTTTGGTTTTGCCTTTTTATTTCCAGGTCATCCTGCCCCTGAAGAAAAAGCACCAGTAAGTTTCAACCTTATGAATCTCATAACATTGAAAAGCGAAAGAACGCCTGCAACTTTGCTAATTTTCGTTCTTAACAGAGTCAGATTTTCTGATAAATCGCTAATCGGAATGGTCGATAGTACAGTAGCCAATCAAAACAATGAAATTGATCACATGATAAATCGTAGTGTTTTGATTAGGCAGAGTGGTAGAGCTTACACGATTGTGTGGTAGCTTTCAGCATGCTCAAAGGAAAGGACTTGATGTGTTTTGAAGTTGATATTGGAATTGTAATGCATAGTTTGTATTAGAAATGATTAGTTGATCATTGTGTGAGTAGAATAAAGATAGACTTAGGAACTCTTCTACAGAACCAAAGTTTGGTCTTATTTTTATATGACTGATGTAATGTCTGAATTAAAGTTTAAAATATCTTTGTATTGCAGGAACCAGAATCCCCACCGCCTGCCTACAAAGCAGCAGAGCCTGCTCCGGTTCATGTCAGTGACGAAACAGATGGCCGTCCGGCTGGTATGTCTGCTAAAGAATATTTAGAATCATTGAAAAAGAAGAAAAGAGCCGACCCCCGCAATCAGAGGATGGACTTCAAACAAAAACATGATTTATTCCAAAAAATGTGATTTCATTATTCTGTATGAACTAACAATATTCTGTACAACATTACATTCAACAGTCTCTTAGAGAAAATACGTTCAGAAAAATTGGCATTGTAGGGCACTGGTTTGAATCTAAGAGAAGTACAATTAAGGGAATTGAGGAGTTTTTTTTGGAAGAGAGGGTTGGTTTAATAATGATCACTCCTACAAAACAGCAAATGTTGTAATCTTGTATTCAGATTTAAATCTGCTTTGACTGGCTAAATTCCCAACATCAAAAACCCTCCAGTGTGAAAAAAACATCAACTAACAGAGTCTCTGCTCAAAAAACTTGATGCCAATTTTTCTGATGCTATTTTCTCTGTGAAACTGTATAATTTTACCAATTAATAAATGCATAACTTTATTTTTCTTTTTCTATGAATTATTTCATTTTTTAATTTTTCCAATCAATTTTTTTTTTCATGATGTAATTATGTTTTTTATTATATGAATTAATAATTTGCCCTGACGAGGTCGACATGACCTTGACATTTTCTGCTGATTTTGTAGTCTTGATATTATTATCTATCCTATAATATGCGATATTTTTGCTCTTTTTGGCTCGAGACCATATTTTGTTATAACGCTCAAGTGTATTGTAATTTTTTTCTCAATTTTTGATTTTCTATATATTTATAAGATAAATACTATATCTACAAATTAAGTGCTTGACATAAATAATAAGATTTTTTATAGAAATGTTATATTGAAATAGTTTATTGTCTAAAAATTCTACGCAGGCTTTCAATTGTTTTATTGGCAAAATCCGCCTAAATTATTTTCTAATTGTATTTTAACTACAATATACAGCTCAATTTTGGCTGGATTTGCCTTTGAATATCTTGTATAGCTTTTATTTATTGAATTTGAATAATGCTTTGATGAAATTTGATTGGCCATTGGTTCAACCAATCAAATGTCTTGATTGATATTTGAATAATGCCTTTGATGAAATTTGATTGACCATTTAATATTGGTTCAACCAATCAAATGTCTTGATTGATGTTTGAATAATGCTTTGATGAAATTTGATTGGCCTCCACCAATGAAATCTATTGATTGATATTTAAATAATGCCTTTGATTGATTTGATGATCTGATTGGTTGGTTTAAATGTATTAACCAATCAGATTTATTGATTAAAATTTAAATTTAGAAAATTAATTGTATATATATATATTGTAGCAACAATATAATATGAAGTAGAATGATGCTTTTTTTTTTCACATTTTGCACACGTCACCATGTTTGCCTGAAAATAGTTACAGAACAATGCCTAGATGGAAGTATTTCGGTATGAATTTAACTTAGGCCTATAGATAGTAGAAGAGCCAGAGAAAGGATTGACTTCATTAAAGGGATACTGTCTTCTAGATATTTGCTTGGATATCTCCTCCACTCTCTGATAGTTTAGCAATGTTTGAAGTCTGCGTTATCAGGAAGTGAATGTTAACTTGTCATATACCAACCAATCAGCGATGTATAGGATGAAGTCTAATGTCTCATTTGTAATCTCCTTGGCTTTGATAGTTGTAAAATTCAGCTGCTCGTAGCAATGTTCAAGTCTTAACTGGAAGGGGATGTTAACTTGTCATCTACCAACCAATCAGTGATGTATAGGTTGAATATCTAAAGTCTCATTGGTAATTCTGAAATATGTTACATACGGCTGAATTTCAATACCATCAACTTTAAAAGGAATATTTAGAGTTTAGCATCCCTATAATTAAACAATCCTCATTAATTATGCCCCACCCCTATTTTTTTAATAATTATTTTCACTTGATAGTATTAGATATTTCCTGATCCTGGGTTTTTTTTATATTTTTGCTGAGATTTCAGTTTTACTTGGATGGATTATTGCCCTTGCTTTATGTTGCTCACTGAACACCATGCCATATTTGTCAAAAGAACATGTTTTCAAGGCACTTTGTGTTATTTTGGTACTTAAATATTTAATTGAGCTTTACACATTATAATGGCTTGAACTTTGACATTCCCTTATAAGGACATCAAGAATGTATATATTTATCTTACGGTTTAACTTGTCTAATAAGACCATTTGGCTTTTATACTGAGTTAACTGTAATACTACATTTGTCCTATTGCAGGGTTGTACTGTACATGTTTGTTGTAAAATTAAATGAATTGTTTGGCTTTTACTGTTAAAAAAAGAAGTTTTTCTATGGTTTTTCTGTAGGCACAAGGAGTCTTCACTTATCTGAAAAATGATAGAAAATCTGCCTTTTCTTGAAATTATTTGCTTTTCTTGATGTGAATGTAAATAGCTAATGTGAACTAGAAGAAATTCAGAAATATCTGTAATCAGTTGAATGTGAATTTAATATGCACTGAAAAAAAATTGATTATTTTGAGGTTTTCTCAACCAGTCTATTAAAAAGTAATTGTTTTTCAATTAATACACCTAAATTCTTCATTCATTTTTAAAACCTTAACATAAAACTTATATATATTTTATACATCACATTCTTATAACAGTTCAAAATTCGAATTATTTATAGTAACATATTTAAAATTAATCGTCCAATGAAATCGCTCGGATTGCTCACTGTATATTTAATTACCCATAATTCCAGGATTGAATATATATACATATATAATATCATATATTTTGTTACAAAATAAAAAACTAAAATTATTTCAGGTGTTTTTATTTTTACTGGAAACTTGAAGGGAAAAGAATGCAACAAACAAACCAAATTTTTGAGTTCAGGGAATAACTTTTCAAGAGAAGTCTGAAAATGCAGTGAGAGAAGCCTGCTGGCTAACCAAGAGGTCTGGGGGTAAACCTGCAGCTCAAGGAGAGGAGTGGGGGGGGGGGGGCACCTGATTATTGGGATAAGACAATAAACCGAGGACCCATGTGTCACAGGCTGTGCATGTAGAAGTTCCCTGACATTTGGAATAAAAAATGTGTAGGATAATTCTGCTGTCCTGACAAAATTTCCCTCATTGCAAACTGAAGTTTGTTCTTAATACAACCTGGAGCAGAGAATAAAGATGTCCGACTTATTTCTTGAGGATTCCAAATTGTTGCTTGGAAGAAACTTGAGGCCTTAAGCATTAATCTTTCCTGGATTATCTTATCTCATTCTTGAACTAAAGTTATATAAATACATCAAAAATGTTTTAGGTGCAAATCAATTTTCTGTGGTCTCCATTCTTGTCTAAGATCTCCTTACGATATACTAGTAGTGTAGGTGGGAGAATTGTTATTGTGAATTGGTCACCAGTAATAAAGAGATATTGATGTCAAGATGAAATATAAAATTTAGATTGAGTAACTACAGATCAGTGAGATGAGTTACTAGTTGTTATAATATTACCGTATTTACAGTAAATACAGCTTGTTCTATTCCTTAGTATACACTTGTGTAAAAATGTCTGAATTTTAAAATATGAATTAAATGGAGTTTTACGTCCTACTTTTCTGTACCATGTGGGCTAATGAAGACAGGCAACGCCATGCAGGGTGCAATGAGGGGAAATTTTGCAACATTAGCCTGCTCTTTTTCGATTTCCGACTGTCGAGGGATCTTTAATGTGCACAGCCTTAGCACACGGGGCCTCAGTTTATTGTTCCATCTGAAAGACTAGACTTTTTTTCCATAACGTTGTTTGTATTTTTGTTGTGTATGAAACCAGGATGTGCTCAAATTGTTCAAGATTGGGATTATATAGAGTAGCAGCACAAAGTAGTGTGTAATTTTTGCCAGGACAGCACAAACAGAACTTAAGATCACCAATGGATCTCTAAAGTTTATTCTGTAGTTACTTTAAAGGTGCAGGCACACGAACGGTCTTAGTCGAAGGCTTGTTTGAGTCTTGGCTTGAGTTTCACCGACTGGCACAGGCAAACGAGAAGACAAAAATCTCCAGTCAGTTGTTTTCGTTTTCGTCTTGCAGATGATAAAACTATCGAAGACAATTATCAAACTTGTTTGATATTATAAATCCTGTCGGAGACACGATAATCTTGTGGAAGTACGGGCACATGCAAGATTTTACTCAAGATTCGAGTCAGTGACAAAAATCTCCGACCAAGACTGCTCGTGTGCCTGCACCTTTACGCTCCAGATTTGGCATCGCAATGCAGTGTGAATGAAGGAAATTTTTCTGGAATAGCAGCAATTACCCATTTTTTCCTTTTGTGATTTCAAACCGTCAAGAGATCTTTTAAGTTTATTAGGAAGTATAAGGTAATGAAGTATATAGTAGAATTGTATATAATAAGAGTAAATATTAGTTCAAACTATATTGTAAACTTTCTCTCTATATTATGAATAACATTTTCATCTAATTTAAATATTTTACTCTTACAGAAGGTCAAGGATTTTTAATAGGACATTGAGTAAGATTATAACTGTTAATTTTCATCATTTTATGTTTAGTTCCATGCTGTCCTCTTAGTTTGTTTGATGGAAATACTATGAAACAGGAATGCAGAGTCATTAGGTAATACGTCATGAAAGCCGACACTCTCAGCAGCACTGGCACAGGCCTCAGATATTTTTTTATTTCAAGGAGGATTCAAAGCCATGGCACACGTTACAGACTGAGCTATAGATGATTATCAATAAGTTTACTGTAAATTTCAAGAAAATGATGAAGACGAAAACTCAGAGTTTCTAGGAAACTTCAGGTGAGGGAGCCGAGAAGGTACCACAAATTTTTTCGGGGGTGTGGGGGGCACGGGCCATTATTTCATGATGTAAAATGATAAAAAATTTGAAAGTGGGGGAGGCCAAAGCCAGACCAGCATCTTTTCATGGCCCTCCCCTCCGTAGAAACGCCACCACAAAGACTGTCTTAACCTGGAACTATGCATTCGCTCAGATTTTCTTTCTCCGTCTAAACATCGTCCAGTAAATTCACACCTCTTAAGGTAAAGTTCTGACTATTTCCTGTTAATTTATTGGCTAATACCCAGACGGCACAAGACTCAAATAACACCTCATAATTAATAAAAAACGATTTATTGAGGATATAAGTTATGCTATGATAATATATTGCATCTGTAACAAACTGGACACCTTAGGTGTTTTGGATTACCACGGAAACAGATCAAGGAACAAAAAATGCGAATCTGTAAATCCTAGAATGTATCGTATGATTGTAGAAATAAGGATTCCACTTAAGTAACATTTTTATCCTGAATTATTTCATAACACATGAACTCTGGAGAAGCAGAAAGTAAATCTTGATGTACCTGGTCAAAATGCTTCATTGTATTTTTATTTGTATTAGTATCCATGGCAACCAAAAAATTCTTCCAGTAACAAAATAATAATAATAATATAACAACATACATCAACAAAATAAAAAACAATTAATGTCATTCATCCATTCAATTTTGCCACTTTCACTTTCTCTCTTGTTCACTGCATACAGAACTGTGCCTGAAATTTTTGTTAAAAAAAAATTTGTTGGCACTTCAACGCAAGTTAAGAACTTTAACTGTCACCAATTTCACTATAGAACTCTTCTTGAGAGATTTTATGAGGGGGAATAATAGTGGGGCTTAATATATTCAGGAATGAGGAATGAGGGAGGGGGGGAGGGAGGAAGCACCTGAACAGAATATATTATATATCAGAGCCAGTATGAGCAATATTGTTCAGGGAATGATACTGAAGTTTTCTATAAATAGATTATATGATGACGAGATTAACATACAGAAGTTTGTTTCACAAAAGCTCAATGAACCATGGTCGCAACAGGCCCGTAGCTAGCTCAAGGTCTCAGGGTGGGGGGCGAATTTTGTTAAGGGGATCTCAACTATACTGACTCAACATGTCAACAAAATTTTTCAGGGGGGGGCCAAAGTTTATTTAGTTGGGGCCTTGCCTTCCCTGGCCCCCCTCTATCTATGGGCCTGGCTCGCAATTTGATTTGTGTAATGTTTTTTAACACTGATGTTGATTGACAAATTTTTTGTTTTTTTCAACAGCTTTCATTTTTATTTAGCCACCTAAGTTAGGGTCTAGCCACAATATGAACAAAAGGTTATTCAGTTGATAAACTAGTCTCATGCTACTCGGAATACACCTTTGTTAGTGTCATAAAATCCCAGCATTGGACAGGGAATAAATTTGATTGGCTGGTATTGTCATCAAACTGACGACTGTTCAAGAAGGCCGTCTTTAGACCCTAACTGAAGTGGCTATGCTAAAATAAAAAGCTAATAAAAAATGGAACGAAAGTTTGGTTTAATATTAAATAGACTGCTGTAAATCAGACAGTAACACTAAATCCTCTACATTCTGTAACTTTCAGTCAATATTCATCTCCAAGACAGCAATAACTTCTCAATTTGTTCCCAACTAAAATCACAATAAAATAACAACCAGCAATCTAAATTCTCGAGTCTTGTCAACTTGGATTAGATTTCTGGGTCCTGAACAACTTGCCTGTCACTGGACAGATATATTTATTTTTAGCACAATGTACGTGAGTCACTACACCGTTTGGATATCGTATAAACGTTGGTTCACTATAAGGTCTATTACACACTGCACAGTTCCTATAATGAATAAAAATTATATAAAATAGAAGGCCACGTTTGAGTATGTTACATTGGAAGGAGTAATTCACTATTTGTTAACCAGATTTTCAAGAAAGGTGGCGCTCCGTTGATGAGTTCTGAACAAGTTCTGTATGTTCCAATTCTGGCCTCAATTGAACAGTACAGAAGTGGCTATGTCACATTAACATTCGCATCTATTTCCTTCTCCACCATTTTGAATTCTGTCTGCACCTACTATTTTTAAGGCATACGTGGGACGTATTCTGAACCCTGTTTCAACTTGTTTTATTGAAAGTCTGGTTGATTCAATAATTGAGCAACCCCCAAGGTGTTTTCAATTGGTAAGTTAATGCTAGAGGCTAAACAACCAATTCACACATTAGATTTTTATATAGACACAGGTTTATATTATCTAATATATTCCGGTAATGAAAATAATGATTTTAAAAAGTTAACTCACCTATCTTCAGTCATTATAACAGGTTCTTGTTGTAGTTCAATACATTCTTGTTTTATAGACAAGTTCTCTCCCCTTGCCATCATCCTCTCAACTCGTGTCATACGACTGGTATGCATACTCTTTCTCATAGCTCGGGTTAAAAATTGGGATAATAAACTCACTGACCAGGAGTCGGGAAGCAGTTGTAATACCTAAATAGACAGAATGAATAAATAAATGATAAAATGAATGAATAATAGAATAAATGTTGGGATACAAGAATTGTTTTGGAGGAAGCTGAAGGGCAGTTGTAATATTTAACTGACAAAAATACATCTAACGCTGCCAACACATGTGTTTCTGATACACAATACTCACTAAGATAGCTAATTTTGGCCATGAATTTTAAATATTATAGGGTTAAATGCAGTAATGAAGTACATAATGGGAGAACGCTTTCAAATATAGGCCACAAAGTATTTCTTTCTCTACTTTCATGTCCTTTCTCATTCTGAATTTGTAGTTATAAATTCATCGTCATGGCTCCCCAAATTTAAAGGATAAATTGAGACGCGAACACTCTAATTCTCGACCTTGCTTCCCTAGAAATCTTATTTTATAAGAATAACTCAAACAGAAAAATGTTATAAATCAATGTGCATTATATAGAGAAATATACAGTACATAAATTATCATGACTTACTTTAACTGTATCAAAATCAGCTACATTACTATTTAATAGAGACATAGCTGGAGCTACCAGAGTGTCTTTACGTCTGAAATTAATCATTTTCATACATAACATACATTTTCTTAAAGTCTTGTATCAGAGATAAAGGTCAATGGGGCTCGATTAGTCATGTACAATAAACCTAGGCCCAGTGCACAGATTGTTCAAAGATAAAGATCCCTTGACAAATGGAAATTCAAAAGAGTTAGCTTATGCAACTTTTGTAGCAAAATTTCTTGAAGAAGATTAACCTCTGTATCTCTGAGGTACCTGACAAGTGTAAGATTCACTTATAGAAGACTTAAAGGGATTGTAAAGTGCAAGGCTTGAAATAATTCGGACATTTTATCCAAATCAATTTGTGTCGGACATCTGAAATTTTGTACCGGGCAGAAAATATATGATAATACGATATTTCCAGCAAGAAAATAATATTTTTTCATATTTTTGGCATCGGACAAAAACGTCTGGCTCAAACTAGATTGTACCGGCCATTTGCCGAAATTGTACCGGACAATGTCCCTGTCCGGACGCTTATTTCAAACCTTGGTAAAGAGATATCAGATTTTGACATTCAAAGTTTAGCTTCAGACAACTTTACAATCCATTCTAAAAAGACTGGAAATTCATTACAACTCAATACAATCATCACAAAAAAACTTACTCGTAACTAGAGTCTAGATAAACACTGAGTAAAATATGAAATAAACGTTTTCTATACGCTGGTTCTCTCCCTTGTGAGTTGACTAGACAATAATTCTCGGCAGCTCCATAATCTTTTAATTTATGAACTAAAATTCTTAAAGCTTTATCATGTTCTTCTAACTATAACAAAATAATCAAAATATAGGTTTGGTGGTGAAATGTGAAATAGTTAAAGTGGCAAGTTAAAATTAGTATGTTAATATTGTCTTGAAAAATAGTTGTGGTCTTAGTCCTCCAAGGGCTCTTTCCTATTTAAAACCATAAGCTAACATCTGCATAGACTGACCGACTCAGACTAACCAATGAAAATTGAGCTCCCTGAATAATAATGATTTTACAATTCTGAATGATTACTATTTATCAATTTTATTAATAATTTACCTTTCCATATAAAATAGCACATTCAGCATGCATATCAGTTTCCTTGGTTTTACCCAGAATTAGCTGAACCCGATATAAACTGGATATTTGTAACATGTGACGTAATTTAGATCTATAATAACAGAGAAATTTAATAAAGGAAAACCTCTTTCTAACACATTTTGTCAGGAAACTGAGATGGATCAATGCTTATCCCAAATGCAATCCTTTTTTTAAGCCAAAATTCACATGCTTACTTGATACCCCCATGATCAGGGGCATATCTAGAAAATGCCCGGGGGCAAAAAAATGCCACTGCCCATGACACACTCCTGAGAAATTGCTATGGCATATTGTACCTCCATTCTTTAACAAAAATACTTCAGTATCAAAGAAGGTATTTGTCTTCGCCCATCAATCATTGAACTCTTAAGCCCTTCCTTTTACGAAATACTGGCATCTGACTAACATCACATAATCCCTTTAGGTTCTTCTTATATTACCCGAACGACTAATTTTCAAAATGGAAAGTAATTCAGACAAATAAAATGGAACTCTATAAGGTAGAAAATTAAATATTGAGACAAAAACACATTTCACTTGCAAGATATTGAGCTCGTTAATTAATTTACTGAAATTAATATTACCTTGCCATATCTATTTCTTCCTTCCGCACAGAAGAGTTCTTTAATAAATTTAAAACTTTATCTAAATATAATACAGCAAGATGGGTGTGGTACTTCTCTTTCTAGAATAAACAAATACAAATAGCATGAAAATAGACCAGATCAAAACAAGTTTAAATATTACCGTTCCGAACATAACTGCATACAATACTTACGATGGAAAATTTCAGCCGAAATTCATGTATAATTACAAAGGAAATGTTTGCCATGACAGCAAATATACAACAGGATCAATGAGTAATGCTTTTCTGAATAACAATTTTAATTATGGATTTCAGGATTTTTGAGGAATTTGCTGAGGCTGCCTAATGCCTGGAACAATATTAAATCATTAACAGGCTGTAGCTTGGCTTATCATCCCATTGGAAGATCAGACACTTTGTCTTTCTCAGTACCTCAGTTTTACATCACTGACAAAGTCTAAAGTAAATCCCAAGATGAATGTGGGATTTAGATGTTAAGAGCCATAGCAAAACAACTCTGAACTGACCTCTAATTTTTTTTGAAAGACGAGATATTCTAGGTAGTTTATAACAGCCAGAGGAAAACGATGTAAATAATCAATCACAGCGTCTGGTCGTAATCTTTCTGATGGGGGTTCGTTAACTGGTCTTTCCGTTAATATCTACAATAAATAAAATAAAACAGTCTAATAGCTTATCTTATACTACTGCCAAGTTAACATGATCCAAAATTCAATATCAAGAGAGATTGTTTGAAAAAGGGGTAATTTTTTCATTCTTGGAATTGGATTTTTATCATCAAAGTAAGAGAACTTCTTCATTATGTTATTTATTATTTATGATTACAGACTGTAGTTGAACCAGCAGTAAATATAGGGGAGATATCATCATAACAGGCATATATTGACTGTAACTTAACTTATACAAACCAAATCTAAATATTTAAAATCTAAATTCAATTGTCACACTAACTTCCGTGAGGGGTAATTTACATCTAAACATGTGTGGACAGTCCAGTTAGACTTATGAGAGAAGTCTGTATAGTGAAAAATACATTAAAAGGATGGCATACTCCAGATAGATATTAAGAGAGCCTTATCATTCTAGAAAGATGAAAGTAGATATAAACTGATAATACCTGTACACCAAGTTCTTCATCTTTCTCTAAAGCCCAGTCTATATACTTCCACACTAACTCATGGTTATTTAAACTGACAAAATATATATAAGAAAACATATATTATAATTCTATAAGCTTTTGTTATAACATTAGTAAAATGAAATGAATGGAGTTTTACGTCCTACTTTTCTGCACCATGTGGGCTAATGAAGACGGTTAAGCCTAGTCAAGCAAAGATATGTGTGTATACCTGGGCTGGATTTAAAACATGAACACTAGCAGTTATTTTAAGATATTTCTAACTGAACTTATGGTCTTAAATAGTTGACTGAAAATTTGAACCCTCCACAAAATAAAACAATGTTAAATGCCCAGCCACAAAATTGAAACCATTTACTACTTACTTGGCTAAAAATTCTATGACAAATTTAAACCCTGGAAAACTGTTGTCTGTTAATTCACCATTCACTAACCTAAATATACAACATAATATCAATATTATTACTTCATTATAATAGTTAATGATTAGAGTTTATGTTATGTGTTTTAGATATAACAAACTCATCAGGACAGAAAGTTGATAAAATTACAGCTTCAGGGTTAATATTGTCATTACCTTAGAAGATAGGGATTGAAAACTGTCACTTTCATAAGCATTAACCATAGCATGAACATTTTTCTTAACTTGAGGATTTGAACCCACAGCACCCTATTTCCAGACAATCCAAGCGCTACCGACAAAGCCATTCCACAAAGAGACAGTGTTCCAACCCAATTATTCATATTTACACAGTTTGAAAGTTGTTTACCCCTTCAAGGAAATATTCATATAGCCAGACACATGCAAGTATAGTGATATTTAGTAAACTTTCATAAATTCTTTGAAAATTAAGCGACGAACTCACTTAGACCAGATTGCTAGTGCTCTGTCATTCTCTGAGTGATGTTTATGTAGTAAAGCTAGAGCGTGGTGGCGCTGGTATCTCTCCAGACACTCCACACAGTCTGCTAGATCACAACTTGTCTCGGAGATTAATAATGGTATCAACTCTGGTGAATTATTCTCAGCGTATAGTTTTAATAATGCTACGTCTATTTCCTGTAAAATACAAAAATATTAAACACATTTGTATATGTTGATGTCCGTCAAGCAATATAAGTAATGCTTATTTTTTAGAATTTGAAAATTTTTTAAAACTGACACTGAAACCGAAGAAAAAAAATGTCGGATTACGCAGATGTCGGAATTCACACAGAGTCCACTATATTACCAAATCCATTCAATAATTTATTAAATCATATCATGTGTTACTTTTCTGCTCCAGAATACTGTACACAATGAGAGAAATTTGTCTCTCCATCTTGAATTACCAACAGTAAAAACTAGGTTGAAAGATCAGAAGGTAATATCTTGACTTATACAATAATCTGATTTAGCACAATATTTACCTGTTTAAGTCCTATAGATAATTTAGTATTTCGTATTTCTTCTAAATAACTTTGTAAAAAATATATATATTCTGCCGTCAAAGTTTCGTTATTTTTGGTAAGTACGGTTATATCTGGTATCTCATGAAGCGCCGGACTGGAACGGGTGAAATTTGAACCTGTTGGCATCATTTTAGGATATAAACAAATAATCTGAAATAGAGAAAAACTAAAATTGTTAGCAGCTTCTGAGCATGGGTGTGGCCCAAGGCCTTGTATATAAACTGATGAATGCAATAACAATGGTTATAATTTGAAAGAGGCTTATTGATGGGGCTATTTGCTAGTCAAGTTTAAAGCTAAAAGCATGCATTTCGATGGTGATCTGTGAACAATATTACTGATTAGCTTAGCTGAAACTAAGGTATGATCAAACCAATGGTGAATGTGCTCTTCAAATTCAGTTCTAATTAGATTCAAAAAGTCATTTACAGAATCTAAATAGATTGTAAGGGAAGATCTAAATAGTATATTATAAGTTAAATTATATTATGTGGTTCCTGGTAAAATGCCCTGCCCCACCCCACCTCAACCACCCCACAGAATAGACCCCACCCTCAACTCACCTCTCTCACATCAACTTGCCCTTTTATAAATAAATCTCTGGCTTCTTCAAAATGTTGTTGTGTAAATTCTATAAAACCTGCTTGTTGTTGGATTCTTCTGTACATCTATAATAGAAACAGGAATCATTTACAGGAATTCAACTGATGAATGAAATAACAAGGTGTCATATAACCAAATAAACAAGAGAATATTTCATGATATAACACATTTCCTTAATAACGAAGTACATTGAATTGAAATTGAAATGTACTTTACCAAAGTACAAAGTGTGTTATCCATTTAATAATATATTTCCTTGTTTCTATGTCATTCAAATCCTATAATGGTGTCCACAGAATCCAAGAACTTTTAAGCGCTGTTCAATAATTTTATCATTTTATAGATTAATCAAATAAGAGAAGGAAATTCTAGGTCAGATAGAAAATTGGAATGGTGCAAATTGATGCAATCAGTGTTCCAAATACACATATAGAAAATCTGTTTACAATCTCTTTAAATGCACACAGACCTTCATGAATTTGTCTTTAGTCATGCCTGTAGAGTGAGCATTTTCTGCCAGTTCCAGCGCCTCTGTGACTCTTTTGTCTGCTAGTAATGCTTGAATCTGTAAAAAATAAACAAGAGAAAGTAAATTTGATACATTCATAGGGTATTATCATCTGATAAACTTGCCTCACTAAGTAACTATCATTTTTCAAAAAGTGCAGTTTGATTTCAATTTAAGCAAAAATAAGCAGTTATGACTATCGGATGACTTAGAAGATAATGTGTATATTATGGCGTTTTTACACAGAATTATCAAATTGAAGGTGAACCTTAAGTCAAATCTTTATTCTAAAAAGTACTACAAAAGCTGAATTAGTTTCCATGAGATAGTCAAATGAAAAATTAAATAGAATATTTTATGAACCTGTTTTTCAAAAGCAACTGGAACCAGAGAATAAATTTCTCTACTGGAAGCTATAAATAACTTGCCATCAAAATCATTCATAAAAACACCGCCCTGGAAGGGAATGGCTTGTTTCTGTTGCTGATCTAAAATACTAAACATAAACAATAATGCTGAATTAGCTGTAATGTTAAATCCAAGGCTTGTATCAAAATGTAAAAAAATTGCACTGTATTAATGCTGCATTTTGTAAATGAAAAGGAGTAAATTTCCCCCAAAAATGAAAACTCTACACATACCTGTGTATGGTAATAAATTCGTCGTTCATAGCAACTATGTAGGGATGAACACAGGAGACCGAGACAAGGTTATCTGACCATTGCATCGGGGGGCGTTGTGAAATTCCTGCTGATGTTACAAACATACCCAACGCACTGGGGCCACTTAATAAAAACTCATCCTAAAAACAATATAAATAATGTATATAACCAAAACTCAAGCAAGTTTCATAACGAAAAAATGAAGATTACAGATTAGCATAAGCTTGGCTTGATTTCACAACTCTTTCATACTCTGTACAAACTATAAATACAGTTAAAATGGCTAAAATATTGTTTCAACCAAACAAAAGTCAAGACAAGAGACAAATTTTCTTTGAGTTCTACACATGTAATCCATAGTACAACCTTAGGACTATATCCGAATTCTACCTTACATTCAAACTTCTGAGAACACATGAACTAACAGGTGTGGTCTTCATAAATTGATATAAAATATTGAAGTTTGTTACCTTGGTGACCTTTTTAACAACAGGATTAACGTATTCTGTATCAAAGGGGAATAAATCTTGTATATTACCAGTGTCTATTTCTATTATACAATATTGAGTAGTTAACGCAGCACAAACATGTTTCTCATCTACTCCCTAAAATAAACAAATTGTTATATATTGTGTTTGACTGTATAAGTGCAACTTGTGTCTAAGATCACCTTTATCTTCTCTGATCGGAAACCAAAACAATTACTGGAAGAATCTAGGTGACAAGAAAAATACTAAGTGACTCGTAATTAAAATTCCTTTCTCTTCACCATGAACTTAATAAGTAACGTACAAGTGGTTCAAATTTTCTCTATAAAAAGGGAAGTAACTTACTATAATGGTGGCTGGTTCTGGGATGGATAAATCTTTATTGTGAATTATTTTATCTTCTAAAATAGTAAAAACTTGTAGCTGTTTCTTTTTTAAAGCCACACAAATCTACAAATCAATTGTTTTATATAGGTGTCACTAACTTAAAATTAACTCATTATATTTTGTCCGCCCCTTCACAGCCCCGAAAGCAAAGTATTTCACACAAAAATCTCATAACTAGGTTAGAAATTCAGGCCATCTCAGATATTTCCCCCCCTCAGAAGTAAACCTGGCTCCACCACTGAAAGTATCTGCACAATGAAATATGATATGAGTATCAAGAATACTCCGAAAAAATTATGTCAGCTCTGGAGTGAATCAGATATTAACAGAAGAGGCTTACCTCAATACTAAATGGATTTGGGTTGGCAGGATTTTCATTCAAACAAAAATAATTCACTCCTTTAATCTTGGCACCTGAATAAACTGGCTGAAATACAAAGTACTGGGTTTACATTTCTACCTCAAAGTACAAGTATATCTAAAAAGTTCTTTTTTTCAGTATCTCTTTAAAGAATAAAACTCTCACATTTAATTTGTTAACAATTGCATAAAAGATACCATGAAACAAATGCTGACAGGTTTAGATAGATAGCTATATATCCCTTTTATCAAATGACAATCAAAACCATACAAGGGAGACCATATTAATGATTTGATTCTCAGGGCCAGATTAGTTTCTCAAGAGAAATCAGGGCTTTTGAATGCGAATTCCACACATAATTACAGGGTAAAATCAATATAAAATGTATCATTATATATCAAAAACATCACATTACCTCTAAATCAAACATATTGAGTAATGTGAAAGTATTATCACATAGAACCATAATTCTGTTCAATGCTGACGCAGCTTTTATCTGGACTATCGCTTTTTTCTGAAACAGAGTAGAAAGGTATTATATGGTAAAAATATTTTACTCTCATCTTCCTTGTTATTTCAGGATTAGAATAAATTATCATATATTAACTCTAACTACAGTATTCAAAATTTAAAAAACTGACAAACACTTGATGGTTTGGAATCAAAAACTGTCCTTTTCAAAGTCCAAAAGTGCCTCAGATCTTAAATGTTTAATGATTTCATTTGTTTGAAATTTTTCAAGGGAAATCTTCACAGCATGTTCTATATTTCAGAATATCAAAAATATTTTCAATCAAGCAAATCTCATCATGTCACTTGACAAATTTGTTTAAATGTATCACCATGCAAATGCAAAGTGGAAACTTTACTACATAAATCAATAGACAAAGTTCGTAAAGCTCAACTGGAGATTCTATTGAAACGGCTGTACAATTCAGATATGACTATTGAATTAAAATGAAACCAAGGTAAATTGTTTCTTACCAAGCCAAGATATTTCTGTCCCTGTTTTTCACTATAAAAGGTAGTTCTACCTCCAATATTTCGTTCTTCAATACAATAATGGAATACAAAACTACAAAAAAAAATCAATTTCAATGATAAGATGTTATCATGTTCAATAAATTAAAATTTTGCCTATTAATATACTTTATATTATAAAAATAACAGGGCAGTGGAATAGCTAGTTGTTAACAAGGCAGATTGTTCATGACAAGGTGATTAGTTACTGTATATTTGAACCTATGTGACATCAAAAGCAAATGCTTTGGAGGCCACCATATCTTTTGAATAAGAAAAAAAAATTGACGTATAAAAATTTCACATATTTTTTTCTATATACAGTAAAGTAACCTAATTTCGTGGAAACCTATTATTCATGCATATCCGGAAAGGATTAATAATTTACACGTGCGACCTTGCATGACCTCCTCATTTGCTTGTTTTGATAAACATGGGTTTTCTGTACAATATCAGCTAGTAGAATGAATCCAGTAGTTTCAAGCAAGGTAAAATGTATTAATATATACTTTGACAAATACAAAATGGCGGATTTCAGTTAAACGTCTCAATTTTTTATCGGCCGAATTTCCATATAATCCCTAGCTGCAATGGGAATTCCAAGTGTCGTCTACTAGAATGTAGTTCAACGAATGAAGTCACGTGATCAGCAGATTCCGTGTCAGCAGAAAAATTCTATGGAACACAATGTGGGCCATATTCTTATGTTGTTTAGCAATAAATCACGCTTCGTATCTTATTTTTTCAGTCACTAATTTTTTTTTAAATCATGGAGGAAGGAATTGTCACTAGTTATAATGAATTGATATTAAAGATAAATATTAAGAGAAGTTAATTATATCACCCGGTATCCATACAACGTGTTTTCTCGACTTATTTATAGATCAAACATTGTACACGAAAGTGACGCATTTTGCTGCCGTTGTCAAGTTGGTTACTCATGAAATATGGGTCAAAGTGAGGGATTCATAAAGAAAATCGAAACAAACCAATTTTAATTATTTTGTAGAATATCTGAGGAAACATCTAAGACATTTTTAAAAATTTCTGTTTTTTAACTTTGATGAAATTCGGTGTTACACCAGTGAAGGTTTCCAAAACCTCTCATAGAATATTCAGTAAGGAATCAAGAAAAGTTACCAAACTTACCAGTCTGCTGTTCCAATATACAAATTTTTACCACAGACATCCAGACACTCAATCTGTTAAAAAAAAAACAATTAACATGGTGGAGTTTGATTGTATTAGGTTGTACTGTAGTCAACTTGGCACTTAACCAAAATGGCCTTAAAAGTCAAAATGCATCAAAACTCAAATTGTATCAAAAGTCAAAATGTGTAAAATGTTAAGCACAGCAATCAAATCAATCTTGAAATCAAATGTCTAGGTGATACTAACAGCTTATTGAAAGTAACAAAATCAAATCGGCAAATTCAGAATCTCCTCTAAACCTAAAAGCTTGACAGTGGCATGTGCCAATTGCAACTCGATGTGCGACTATTTGCCATAATATAAATTGTAGCCTATCCTATCTAGATTGAACACTGACACCAAGAACATGGCAAAAGTTGATAGCAGCCAGTAGTGTTTACAGTATTGCATGTTCAAAGCCCTTATCGACCTAAAATACAAAGCTGACACCAACTGTCAAGTCAGCAATCAACAGTTCAGCACTAGCCGGCCTTTCAAAGTTATCACTGTCATTGGAGACTTGTCATTTCAAATTTCATTCAGAATGTCACCATTATGTTGCATGAAAATTACCTGCGTTTTAATCTTGTCCGCGATCAATTTAGCTCGTTCGATAGCTGGCACCAACTCAAATGCCTTCATACTCATTTTGACAAATTTTTAAAGCAATCGACCCAAGGAATCCAGAAAAATGTGTTGATTTCTTTAGAAATTCATTTAACATGACAAGAGAGCTGCCATATTGGTACTAGTGCCGCCCCCAAGTGGACAGCACCGCCCACTTATATTTTAAAGGGATACTCCTTAGTCAGGGCTTCAAAATTTGTTATTAATGTCAAGGTCCACTTGTCAAAACACACAAATCTATGAATGATTAAGACAATCATACAATTAAATCTAAAAGTGGATTTAAAACGTTTTATCTTTCAAAATTGTATATTTTCCAATCAAGCCCTTAGACCTAATTTTATTACATTAGAACATCACTTTAAAACGACTGGATGTACATGACTTCGGAATAATTTGGGGAGATAACTCGCAATATTTTCATCCCACTTCCGCTAATTTAGGATTATAAATACAAAAATGGCAATGGGGAAGATTTTTCGAGTTTTTCATAAATTACCTCCAGATCCCGACACGCCATACAGTGTAATTTTAGAGAGCAAGAACAGAGAGGAAACTGTGATGTTTGAATCGAACGCAGTAGTCATTTTGTGTAAGAATTTAACCATTTTCTGTCACCACAGTCATCTGAGTATCGACTCATTTTCATGATTTATTTGAAAGTGACACTTGACAGTTGACGTCTGGCACTCCTATCTCTTGACTTGCCTCATCAATCATCAATGTTTTTGAAAATGCTCAACAGTCGCCTTCGTTTCTGATTGGTTTACCTTTATTTTGATCGTTTTTTGCACTGCCATAGGCCTATAGACTTAAGAGCCCAAAATACAAGACAGCTCTATCATAGGCGTCTCAGTTTATTATAAGATGACTGGAGTTGTCTTATCATTTAAGTTGTTGTCTTTGATTCAATGTGTCCTGATTCTACTAGCCCCACCAACTCTGCTATCTATAGCAGCAGTATGGTGCAGCATAGTGCTAGGGCTGGGCGATATTGGTTCAAGTTGATTAAGCATTAATACATCACAACATGGGTATATGGTGCGATATTTCTAAAGTATGTTTTTTTCCTGATTTTGTGTAGATGATCTTATCTGGACAAAAAGTTGACAATATGTCATGAAAACTGCCCTATATCATGGTATGGCGATATTTCAATACCGTTTTTTTTAATCAGGCAATATTACTAACAATATAAATTCCTATATTGGTATATCACCTAATTAGTGCCCTTAATGCATGAATGATGATATTCAGTAACTAATACTGTCTGACCATTCCTGGCTAGCATAGGATTTTATGTTAACGCCTTCAACCACCTGTTAAACCTTCTTATATTCTGACAAGTTGTCTGAGTTGTCTTAGGACTGTTGAATAGTAACTTGTTACTTTGAATCAGTCTGATCTCACATGATTTTGTTTTGTTATTGTAGCGTCAGCAGAAGCAGACACAGTAAAGAAGTTTTATAGTAAAATTTTAGATGCTTATGCTTGTCTGGGTGTGCTAAATCTTAATGCTGGTAAATATTCCTGTTTATATTTGTGACCCCGCACATCAAACCAGGTATTAAGTAGCATTTTGTGTATGTAGAGTTATCAGTATATTTGGATTCCTGGCATCATCAGCTACATTTTGATACAAATACCATCTCAATAGCTTTCTCCGTTCAGATGATATAGTCAATTTAATATCCAGATTTGAGTCCCCTTTAATACTTCACTGTCAGCTTATTACTGGGCAGTGCAACTTAATACCTGATACGATGTGCAGGGTCACATTTGATTATTTTCCCAAGCCTTGGCTTCAGATAGGAATACCTTTTATTTCAGCATGATTTTCAGTATGGTTAGATTTAGAAGTTTAGGAGTATTCTCTATTCCTTGTACAATCTTCTTGACCTATTTTCATCATAATTGTTTAAAGGCGACATGTACATATGTTAAGGATATTGTCTTTTTTTCCTCTTAAGTGCTAATTTGATTAAGTTTACTTTAGCTTTTTTAATCAGCTGTACAGATGATGGTTTTTGATCTGGAGAAACATTATGATAATGCTATCTTTATTGAGTAGGCTATACCTGTTTTCTGATTATAATTTCATGAACAAAAGGAAACAATGAAATACAAATAAAACGCAAATATAACAATGTTGGTGGTCAATGATATGTTAATTTGTTTTATTTTAGGCAATCAGAAGATATTGTATTTAGTTCTGGTGACGACTTGTCTTTCTGTGGGTAAAATTGGTGATACAGAAGTTTTTAAAATTACTGCTGTACAACTTGTACCTCTACGAAACGAGCCCAGTGATGAAGAAAGGGTTGTTGAAGTCAGGAAACTTCTCAGCTCTGGCACGTTTTATTTCTCTTGGTGTCAATCTGGTATTCCCTGGGATCTCAGTCTCTGTGCTCAACGAAAACATCAAGATCATGAAACAGATAACAGATTCTTCTGGTAAGTTATAGTAATAGTAATTTCAATCTTTCATACAAATAGTTGTTAAAACTTGGCCAATGTTGATCTGTGGACTTGTCTGTTGTCAGCTATACGACAGAATCCCTGTATTAACAGATAAATACATAAAACTAAGTTATCATTCAATAATACATACAAGAACAACTTTTATAGATAATTTAGTTTTAGTGATTTATAAGCTAGCTGTTCATTGAGTATCTTTTATCTAAAGCTAGTGTTAACAGCATGAGATAGGCTCTTATCAACTTGAAGTAACTGAAATGAGACTTATTTTATTTCAGGAATCGATTACTACATGTCCATTTAAAACGATATGGTATAGATTGTGACCAATGGCTGATCAAGATTATGTGTGGAGCTGTAGAAATAAGAACTATATATGCAGCTCATCGTCAAGCTAAAGCCTGTCTGATATCTAGATTAAGTTGTGAACGAGCCGGGACCAGGTTTAACGTACGAGGAACCAATGATGACGGCCATGTGGCTAATTTTGTTGAAACTGAGCAGGTTAGTTCATTTTGATTTCTTTTTTCCTTTATTTTTTTCCTTTTTTTCTAAAATTTAACGTGGGCTACTTTGCAAGCGTTGCTGCACCACAGAACAGGGTTAAATCAATCGTGTTTGAATTATTTCAGGTGATATTTCTGGATGAGCAAGTATCATCATTTGTAGAAACTCGAGGTTCGGTGCCATTATTCTGGGAACAACCAGGCATTAATGTAAGTATCCTTCATCATTTACAGAAGTGTATTTGAGGCCATCGTTATTTTTACATATTCACAATAATCCATGGTAATGATTCAAAGATTTCACATTCAAAATTTTCCTATCTATTTCCTTCTCCGCCATTTTGAATTCTGTCTGCACCTACTATTCCTCAAATCCCGAACGTGCAAAACTCACCAATCAAACGGCCCCATTTTTTCATGTTTTTCCAGGTTGGTGCACATAAAGTTCACATGTCACGAGGATATGAGACGTCAGCTCCAGCCTATGATCGCCATCTACAAATGATACGTAAACATTACGGGGAACAAGTTATAGTTAATTTATTGGGTAGTAAGGAAGGAGAGAGATTGCTTAGTCAGGCATTTCAGGTAGGGGTTATTTTTATCTCTTAAATGGAATGGATTAAAGACAAAAACACCACACAAACTGTGGCTTGAATTTATTATAGTTAGCAAAGATATTATGCACATCCGGGTATGATTCAAAATATGAACACAACAGTCCAATTTTACTTAATTTGAGTTAGGATAAGTATCAATGACCACAACATAAGTCTGGCTTGTATGGTACTAATTACTGCTAATCTTTTTTTGAATTAAACTAGAATACTCTTGTTTAAATAACAGAATAACAGGGAATATATTAAAGTATAACACACTTCTTAAATAACAAAATATGTGACATGTGTTATACATTTAATAATATATTCCCTTGTTTTTTTTATATGTGTACTCCCTGCTTCTAAATGTCATTCAAATCTTACTTTTGTTTATATAGACTACTTTTGAATTAACTACGCCTCAGTACACATGGTGATTTTCTTGCCAATATAGTGCCTGTATCATTTTGATAGGAGGAGAAAAAATAAGCCTATAAAGGAATTATATTAAAGCTCTTTAAGATTTTTAGATTTTACATGAGAAATCATTTGAAGACACAAAAGTTACTTTGTATTATATCTGACTGTAAATCTGTTTGTATTTCAGAATCATCATAAAGCTTCCTCACATCATGATATAGTTCCATTCATACATTTTGATTATCATGCAGAAATCAAGGGCAGTAATTTAAAAAATCTGGATAAATTAAAAACTAAACTTCTTAAAAAACTTCAGGAGTTCGATTTTTTTGCCAGTGATGGAACAAATATTTTAAGGTAGGTTCAATATTTTCATGCCGTGTTAGAAATGTTCTGCCAACCCTGTCAAATGTTCGAATGAGGTTTACATGCACATGAATATGGATATAAATATGGTTCTTTAGAACATAACAGAGATCTTGAGCAGTTTATATTTTATTATAACATAACTGGGTATAACCATGTAGACTACATTTTGTTATTTTGTGTTATTCCAGACAACAGACTGGTACAATCAGGTCTAACTGTCTTGATTGTCTAGACAGAACTAATGCTGTACAGACCATGCTAGCTATGGAGGTAAATTATTAATATTTCTAAGTTTTCATGTCCTTACATGCCTCTAGAATAAAATAGAGCTGTTAGCTAATGGAACATTATAGCTGGTAAAGTGAAAGTGTCCACCAAAATGAATCACAAAATGTCCAAAAATAGCCAGGCCTTTCAGAGGCAATCTGATCTGGATGCTTTGTTTCTGTGTTTTGTCTGACAAGATTCTGTTTTCAAACTGTTGAAAGTGGTATACGTGTAGTTAGGAAATATATTATTGAGGTTAGATAGTAAGTGACATAGAACAAGAGATCCATAACAATTTCATCAGATCATGGATTGCAAGTGGAGTCAACACCAGAAAGGTACAAAATAAAAAAAATGAAGTCAGTATTTGTATTGTTAGGACCACTAACCAAAACAGATACAGAAAAGTTTCATTTTACATTTTGGTTTCCCCATAATGATTGTCCCAATTTTTGTTTATATTTCAGATTTTGCCTGCTCAAGTAGAGAGTTTAGGATTATCAAACAAACCTCAGATGTTATCAAGATTCCAGGAGGTTTATAAACAGATCTGGGCCTTAAACGGTGACCATGTTAGTCGTATCTACGCTGGTACTGGGGCGCTAGGTGGTGGTAGGTCAAAGGTCAGTTTTAACTAGATATTTCTCTTTAACCCTTTGAACCCTGAGTGTAAATTAAATAAAACGTCATATTTTCTGAACTTCAATTAATAGGTAAAAGTGTATGGCATTAACATTGTGTATTGTCACTTGATAAGTTTAAGCATTATATAAGGTGTAATTATGTGGCTGGTAATCCGTTTGTTAGGGTTGAAGATGGCTGTAGCTATGCTTCCAACTACTAATTATTCTACTAAAAAAAACAATTGACTCTTGGATTCAGTGACCGAATGTTTCACAAACTGAATTACTTATTCAGGGAAAAGTTCCAGTATCATGTACAGTATAGTTCTAGCAGCCATTATGACATCATTGATACGCATGAAAATATTTTATAAAAATGGACAGAGAGAAAAATACTAAAATTAAATGTCCAAAGGTTTATCTACAAGTTATTAATTTCTCACTATCTCTTGTGTTTCAGATCTCTGATGCGTCAAGATCGGCATCTCGAGCTATTCAGAATAATTTTCTAGATAATAGTAAACAAGAGTCAATAGATATATTGTTAGTTGGTAATACATTGATGGGGGAACTAGCTGATAAGGCAAGATCCTTACTAACAACTCGCAGTCTACATGGTAAGAATTATATTTATAATTAACTAGGCCATTTAGTCATGTTGTTTAAGTAAGTTATGGCCCAGTTTAAGATAGAAACTGATACGATGGGAGGTCGGTTTTCGTTTCTAACAACACATAGTCTTCATGGTAAGATATATTTTTGGCCTATAATGGCCATTCTGATCCAAGTTAAGTGCTTATTGTGCCTTCTTTTTTCATCTTTAAAACTGCAGAACTTTAGGATGTAAAGCTACATTCAATGTTCCAAATTTAGTGGAAGATGAATGAAGTAACATATTGAAACTCAAATTAATTTCCAAAAAAAACCCAGAAACCCCCCAAAATGTAGGGTTTAAGTCATATCATTAGCCAAATGTATATCACAACTCCAAAAAAGAAAGAAACAACTATATTTTACAAGGATCCTTTCTACCAGCTGGTCCTTGGTCAAATCTCTTGGTATTGATCTTTCCTGGATTATCCATACCCATTTACAACTGGGTCAATTGGAATTATGAGTGCAGATGACTTATTCAAGGTCTTTCTCACGTGGATCGAGATCAGTATCCATAGCTGCCTTTTGTTCACGTAACCAAGTAAATGACGTCATGTAAAGAACCAACGCTCTAACCGACTGTGCTATAGAACCTCACAAACAACCCTCACAATGAATACAAACATTTTATTTCATTCCAGCTACCCCTGGTATAATTCATGGTATGATCAACAGATATAAAGAATATACCGAACCTAAATCATTACGTATTGGTGTCTGTACTTGGAATGTCAATGGAGGGAAACATTTTCGAAGTATCGCGTATAAACATCAATCGTTAACAGATTGGTTATTAGACGCTCATAAAACGGTTTCCATGGCTAGACCAGGTTTGTCATTTACAGTGTCAACAAAAAAACAAAACAGAGCCCATGAATTTTTATAAAAAGACAGAAGGCATACAATTTTTTAGTAAATCTTACAATGGTCCTGTAGATTTTTAAATATTTGGACAACTTTAAGCAGAAATCGCAGCAAATATCACAGAAGATTTTTTGCAATTGACAATTTCTAGTGATGAATAATACAAGTGTGCTCCAAAAGAAGACATTTGAAGCATATTTGACATTACTTGTATGTAACTCTAACCAAGACAACTGAAACTTTGGGAACTTTTCTTGATACGTGATAAAGTCTGACTTGCAGTTGCATAGTTATTAACTCTGTATCATTAACTCTCAAAATACAAATACTCATTTATTTTCAACGTGCACTTAAAGGCAATAGTTTGATTTAATATTATTCTGTCTGTTATTTTAGAGGATCTATTAGAAGATACAGATTATAACACCCCAGTTGATATCTTCGCTATTGGATTTGAAGAAATCGTCGATCTCAATGCTAGCAATATTATGAAGGCTAGGTAGGAACTTATTTTTAGAATTAACCCAGAATTTTTTTCAAAAATAGAATTTATTTGTTGCATTCTGAAATGAGTATGGGAAATATCACAAAAGTGCATTAAGGCTGTAAAAGTGGATTATTAAATTATTCTCAGAAATAAAGTGGGGGTACAAATTATTTTGCTGTTTTGTCTCCAATGCAATATTTTAACTTTTGTGTTATTATGCTTCAGTACAACTAATGCTCAAGAATGGCAGAAAGAATTAATAAAAACTATATCACGTGATCATAAATACGTAGTTTTAAACAGTATTCAGCTAGTGGGCGTTGTTTTATATGTTTTTGTTCGACCTCAACTAGCTCCCTTTATTAGGTATGTAACTTTATTCCAAAACTTGTAGTCAAATATATAATGTTCTATAATCTAGCTTAGATTGAATCATGTATTTGAACAACAATGTTCTCTGTAAGATGCAGGGTTTGGCAATTTTATGCTCAAAATTTATAGTTCACAGTGCATTACACAACTGACTGACATATTGGATTTAAAAAACCAGTTTAAGAGAAAAAAAATGGCAATGATATTTTGAAATAGATATTTGTTGTAACTTGTAAAATTATACATGTGCATTTGTGCAAGACGCTCAATTCCTACTTTCAGAATTCAGAATAAACGTCAATCTATTATCTGTTACCTAAATATGATTATCTGCCAGTGCCAGAACAGGATATACTGTAATGCAAAGGGTTTATACATTTGCAGTTTCACTTTTTTTTTATGGTTTCTTACAGAGATGTAGCTGTAGAAAAGGTGAAAACAGGCCTAGGGGGAGCCACTGGTAATAAAGGTGGCGTAGCAATAAGATTTTTAATACATAGTACGTCTGTATGCTTTGTTTGTGCTCATTTGGCTGCGGGACAGTCACAAGTCAGTGACAGGAACGCAGATTACGCTGAAATTATGAGAAGGATGGCTTTTCCTATGGTAAGTAAGAAAGGCTTTCATTGGACAATGTAGTTTCTGTTTTTCAAGGGGTACAGGGTGATGATATTAACATTGAGGGATGTGGGAAACAGATAGGGTAAGGAATGATGGCTATTAGGGGGATTTAAAGATGGTGCATGTTATCAGCTTACATAGCGAGTTTGATGTTCAAAGATTTGTTGTAAACTGAGCTGTAAATCTTCACCATTTTCCAAAGAAAATTTTTACAAGGATAACAACTCAGATTCTCAAAAATCCTTTCTACCAGCTGGTCTTTGGCCAAACTTTTTGATCTCATTTTGCTGAAAGCATTTAAAAGGACAACCATAGATTCCCTTGATTATGCTTTTGGGGAGGTCCTCCAAATGGGACCAAATTATAATTGATGATTTTGCCGTAAATGTTTCAGGGACGTACCATCCAATCCCATGATTATGTATTTTGGTGTGGTGATTTTAACTATAGAATTGATCTACCCGGTGATGAAGTAAAGGAATTGGTCAAAAATGAGAATTTTGGAGCTCTACAGGCTTGTGATCAGTTGAATAAAGAACGAGCTGAAGGAAAGGTAAGTCATATAAATTCAGGCTTGGGTATGAATGAGCTTGGACACCTCTAATACTGTCAAGTGTTCTTGGGTCCTCTCCATACCTCTACAACTTCAGTTGAATGGGAATATGGGCCAATTTACTTAGTATTTTTTCAAATATCTATATCATAATTTAAAATCAGAGTAGAAACTTATGTTATGGTTAAAAGAAATTGAAAATCAAACTATTTCTAAAGAGTTATTAGTAAAAAATTTTTGTGTTTAAAGTTTGGATCCAGATTTGGAACATAATCCCCGTAAAGATTAGTTTAACCTGACCTTTAGCTGGATCCATTCTTTAGTACTTGCATACAAGCTGATACTTACACCATATGTCTTGTCATTTCTCTTCAAAATGCCTTTTAAACTGAATGAGTCAGTGCCAATGTTTCTTAGAGTTGGCACCTAATTCCTATTATTGTATATTTCAGACATTTCAAGGCTTCAATGAAGGAGTAACCAACTTTCCTCCTACGTATAAATATGATTTATTTAGTGATGATTTTGATACCAGTGAGAAATGTCGAGCTCCAGCCTGGACTGACAGAGTTTTATGGAGAAGACGACATATTTTACCACAGGAAGGTTAGGACATTATAGTGATACAGGGCCATGTTCCACAAAAATCTTACTATAAGAAATTGTCGTATTTGTAGAATTTTACTTTGAGATATACCAAAGCATGCCAAAATTTATTGAGCATTACAGTCAAAACTGTGGCATGAGATTGTAACCATCTTTTCCTCTATGTAAATCACTGTAATAAAGTTATTAGAAATCCTATATCAGCCAGTCAGTCTAGTATACAATTTGGTGGTAAGATTGTAGAAGGGGGCTCAGTCCTCTAAAAATATTTGACTCACCAGCTAATATAACTCTACTCTTGATATCACTTTTTAGTATTAAAATCTGATACCAAGTTCTACAACAATTAATGAATAATAAGTCCAGGGTGTTATTGGCACTGATAATAATTTTATGTCTGAAACATTTGTCAGCAGCATGAGATGAGCTCTAGTCAATTAGGAGAAGCCGGTTAACCGTATACCAAAAATATTTCTCAACATATTCTTCTAATTTTTTTTTTAACATCTTTGTGTCAATTTTGTTGTAGCTGAAGAGGAAGATCCAGACTGGAATCCTGGGAAATTAATTTTATACACGAGAGCTGAACTTCGTACTTCAGATCATAGGTAAGAGAAACATGTTTTAAGATATCGATAAAGAATGAATGTTGAGGTGCTTGTGCTCAGCGATGTTTCATAGCTTTAGCATCATATTCTCGAAACTTCCTGACCACAAAAAAACTGACAACAATAGATGAAATTAATTGTATTTACGAGATGAACTTCGTACTTCAGATAGGTAAGAGAATGTTCTCTGACAGACTGGTGATTGACAGGTAATTTATCGCTGAAGTGTCTATTTTTGCTGTAGTTTTAGTAGCATGCAATTAAGACTTTCTTAATACAGAAAAAATGGCATTATAAACCTAGTTGGGATGGTGTGAAAAGTTAACTGAGATTATATGGAATGAGATGAAATCAGCATAACAAAATACAATATATAGATTGTTGTATTCAGTGTGAATGTAACAGAGTAGCTAGTACCAATGTCTCAAAAAATTTACCTCATTGCACACTGCATGGTGTTTCCCATCTTCATTAGTTCCATCAAGAGCAGAAAATATGAAAGTGCTGTAGACAGCTTATTTTCACTTGGATTTATATTTACACCCTTTGAAGGCTGAGTCTTAATTTAAAAATTTCACTGTGTACCCTAATCGACAAAAACCTGCCTCGCAACATTTAACAAAATATTTTTCAGACCTGTGATTGGACTGTTCGATATTGAAGTATTGAGTGTAGATGAATCAGCGAAAGAGAGGGTCTTCCAGGAAGTGATTGGTGAACAGGGACCACCAGATGGCACTGTTATCATTTCCATGGAAACAGAAATGTCAGACGACACTGTCAATGAGATCGTGGAGTTGTTTAATGAAGTGGGAGAAATTATTGTTGTCAGGTTGGTTCCTTTCTATTCCTTTTTCAGGTTTTCTCATCCAGGGTTTTGTCATAATACGCAGAAATCATAGGCAAAAGCTTAAATTTGAGGATTTTTCACTTACCATTTTTAGAGTTATTGCCCTTGATTGATATAATAAAAGCATGGAGATTGAATCTTATGTTTTGAAATATTATTTTTGTGGTATGCTTATTTAACTTTTTTAAGTTGTGATTCAGAGTTGACAAATTTAGCGATAGTGTGGCTATTTATTCTACTCATAAAGCATCTTTCCATGCAGTAGAAGAATGCTCAATGTGTCAGGTGTCCTGAAAGAGTGGGCATGCCCTTCCTAGTTTAATATTTTGAAATGATTTTAATATAGATTTGTGGGAGATGATATGTGGGTGATATATAGAAATGGTCAACATGCAATAGAGGCTTTAAAATACCATCAACATCAGGTAGGTTAAATATTTATGAACCAGTTGACTTTTCTACCAATGATAACCAAGTGTTCCCATTCTGTGTCAATTGTGGAAGTAAAACATTTCAACAACTCATCAGAAGCTTTCAGTTGTGCATATTCTGACCAATCATTGTCATGTATTATTAAACCAGTTGACTTCTAAGCCAATAATAATGCAGTATTACAATTCCTATTCCAGTTCTCAAGTGGTACTGTTAGTGTGTGCATTTCTGTGTATTTCGGCCAATCCCTATCAAGCATTGCTAAACCATCTGAATTTTTAAGCCAATAAAAAGGAAGCAGTATTACCATTCCTATTCTAGTTACCAAGTGGTACTATCAATATTAGGTTAAAAACTAAGGAACACTTAATAGGTTTTCGGTAGTGCAAATTCTGACCAATCATTATCAAGTATTGATAAACCAGATGACTTCTAATCCAATTATAACCCAGTATCACTATTCCTATTCCAGTTATCAAGTGGTACTATCAGTGTCAGGTTAAAAACTGAAGAATGGAAACAAGTAATTGAAGATGAGATGAAATTGTGTGCGTTGAATACAGAGGCCATGTTTAATGTTTTTACCAATAGTTTATTAGGAGATGATTTTAGTGTACCGTCTATGGAATTCAGCATGGTCGATGGTAAGTCTTTCTTTTTGTGTTGATTTTTTTTGTTTTCTTCTTAATGGCAGCCTTTTCCGAGTTCTTTGGATCCATGAATAAAGACGTTGGAGTCAATAGTTGACAAATTTTGATTCTTAGGTATTATTATAAGCTGTGTGTACTCTCTGAAATAGATGCTAATACAGACTCAAATGCCAAATTACATTACATCTGAATATCTAAAGTTTACCGAAGTTCTTTGTTCGCTTTCAATGTATTGAGAATCATATTTTTCATACTTATCCCTAAGCATATAACTTATAAGATGTTTCTTAAAGAATTCCACCTTTTTGTTTAATTGAAGTTTAATTGGCAAAGAAACATCATTGGGCCATACAAAATAAATAGTCTGTTTTACAGCCCTTTTTTTCAAAAATCGGGGCGAGAGGGTGAATTTCTTATTTATCAAGCGCTTTTTAAGATTTTCAACTGGAATAAATCGGAGCGAGCGGAAGCATTTATTATTTATTACCACAAATTTAATGTACATTTGATATTAAGTTAACAATCAGGCAGTTTTGGGCCTGTAAAACAGACTATTTATTTCGTATGGCCATACTATTGATCATTTGTATGGACCCTCAGTCAATAACCTTGTAATGGTAAATTTGAGGCCCATAGACGCTAGTATTGAAGGGTTAAAATGCCATCATATACTATCGTTTATATGGTTTATTTATTTAGGTTTTTTTTGTTATAAATAACTTATATATTGAATTTAAAGTTAACCACAGCCACTAATGACTTGTAGAATCGTTAATAATTTTATATAATTATTTTTCTAGATGATGAAGATGAAATTGCAGAAAGTTTATCAGCAGCAGACATCATTTTATCTCGCTCTAACACTCCCGTTTCTGGTGAGGGTACTTTCATTTAAAAATTTGAAATAAAATTTGTTAGTGGCAAATTTCACAAAGTCCTAATTTACGAGGATTTAAGTAAAGTATATTAAAATGCAATTTTACAAATGCTTTTTATCTGTCATCTGACCTGTATGTTACGAATCATGTCAACTGATGACTCTGTTTTGGTTTAATTTTCTTCATTGCACACTTCATGGCATTGCCCTTCATTATCAACCCAACCAGGAGTAGAAAAGTAGGATTTAAAACTATATATTTCATTTCGATCAATTTTAAACTGATCATAGAAATAAAACGACAATTCTGACAATAAATGAATTTGTTTTCAGGAAGAAGCAGCCCTGCCGTGTCTGATGATGGTGTTTTAGATATACCAGGAGGTCCACCCTGTCGACCCCAACCTCCATCCCGACCCCCAGCAGCGCCTAGTTCTAGACCCACAGCACCAACTGACGGACCACAATTAATTGTTCCAGAGAAAACTAACAGAGTTTCTTCCGTTTCCCCAGAGGTAGGGTTCTACTGTTATTTTAATTTTGAGTTGGATGAACCATGAATTCATATTCATTATTACAAGGATTCACTTAGGATCGTTTCTACTAGCTGGTAAGGGTATCTATCTCCATCAGTCAAGTTTTCAAGTAGACATCTGTGGTTCTTGCGATTTTATTAAAAACATTTTATGATGTAGCTATAGGACTTGCAGGAACTACAGACGTATGACTGAAAATTGGAATAGTGAAAATAAATGCTTTAAGTGTCCCTGATACAGATAAAAAATTTAGAAAACTTTTGATAAAGAAGTCTGTTGTCACTACTAAGATACGAAAAAAAAAAACGTGTGAAGACACAGGGTCAAAATAATAATTTGTAATTTCAGGTGTCGAGAAAGAAACCACCTGAGAGACCTTCAGCTCCTCCTGCTAGACCCCCACCCCCTCAACGTCCCCCTGGAGGTCCGCTCCGCCCAGCCCCTGGGTCCAAACCAGCTCCAGGTAATATTTATTATCATAATTTCAGACAGAAGGGGGTTGATTTGGGTCTTGAATCTATGTAAATAGTCTTCTGAAATACATTCATATTCATTGATACACATAGCTAAGAAGACTCAAATTTCAATCAACAATAAACACTGATTACCATAGCTGAATATTTCCTGTTTCTGAGACTAAGGAATCCAAATATGGTGAAATGGAACTGTAACACTTTAGACAAAAAATGACAAAAAGAATTGATAACTTTTCATATCTTTTAATTTACAGGTTTACCTAACAGACCAACAGCTGGTCCCCCTAAAATACGACAGCCATTGAGACCTCCCCCCAAAAACAAGAAAAATCCCAAGGTTGGTATATTTACTATTTCAATATTTTAGTTTTGTTTTTGCCCAGACGACCTGTACATTAGAAAATATCAGGCATAAACACTAAGATATATGGATATACTACTTCTGAATTTATCACTAATACATTTTAAAACACATACAGATAACTTTATCGTATATCCATTCAATATATCTTAGTGTTTTAACGTAACCTTCCTATCTCTATAAATAAACCAATTTCAAACAATCCGTACAATAATGAAACTCGAAACACAAATAACATATTAGGGAAACATTGGTAGCAGCTAATGAACTTTTCACATGAGGAAGTATATCAATTATTAGTGATTAAGTATATCATGATGAAAAGTGGTATCAGGTGTCTAAGAGAGTAAGTATACCCTGCCTGGTGCCACACCCGTCATATCTGCTTATAGGTCTTACAAACATTATATTAGATCTTGTGTGATATTTTCTTCAGGTCTCAACTATAGGACTACCTACCAATGTATCGCATCATGGTCACGCAGCGAGTGAGGAGGAGGCCAGAGAGTTGATAGAGAAGTTAATGGGAGGATCAGGCTCTGGGGGTTCTCTCCCTGCTCCGCAATTACAACCAGGTATAGTCTCTTGCTATCCAGGCACTTATTTTACCAGGTTTGAACATCATTTCTCAACGATTCTTTCTACCAGCTATCTGCATCACGAGGAAATATGACTTAGACACTTAGAGGGACAGGTGGGCCATTTTTGACCAATCATTCTTAAGTCTCAGAAACAGGAATTTTTTAGCTGAGCTTATCAGTAATAATGTTCACAGCTCATCATCAAAATTCGAGCTTTCAAATCCATGTGTGTCCAGATTTATCTGAGTTTGAATGTTAAAATGACGACTTGTCAATATAAGATACACTGTTATATATAGAAAAGACATCTATAGAAATAGTGAGTAAAATTCCTAGTTTGAAGTATTTTGAAAGGAATTATGTGATTTTCGTACATTTCTAGTACTTCTTAAGACTATTTACATATATTCAACACTCAAATCAACCCCCGAAAAATGGCACACCTGTCCCTTCTACTGACTGAACTATGCCTGCCCTAAATTCCATTATTGCTTATTTCTGTATTGTAGGCCTAGCACCCAACACATCCAAGCCTGTACCTAGAAGTCGAACATCAGAATTTTACGTGAATGGCACAGAAAATCAAAGTGATCCTGCTCCAGTTCCGAAACAACGATTCCGAAGTATGGAGAATTTAGTCTCGGAATCCCAACAAGAGAAAGATGCATCTAGTGTGATTCCACCACCAATTGATGCTCCTACGCCTGTTCCTAGTACTGGCCCTAGTGCTGCTTCTCCTACCCCTATTGCCAGACCACGCCCAGTTCCACGAAGGAACTCACTACATAATGAAAATGCACCAAATATCACAGACGTGCCAGCAGCAGTGAATGGTCCTCCTAAACCACCACCCAGACCTGCCAGCGCTGTGGATTTCACAAAAATGGGCGAAAATTCTGATTTTGTCCCTGAAGCAAAGCCACGTAATTCCGTTAATTTTCAAAATTCTGATTTATTTGGATCTCAAAATTTATTAGATGAGCCCTTACCTGCAGTCCCTGCGTCACCTGACCCCTTCGATACCAGTTCCATTCCTTCATACTTCATGAATAAAGCCCAACCCGCCATTCCTGCTAATTCAGAACCCCTGATTCCTTCAAGTAGCCCCATTCCCCCTATGCCTACAAGCATCCCCCCAATGCCAGTAGACAACCCCCCTCCCCCTGTTCCAAAACGTGATGAGAGCTCCTCTAATCCTTTAGTTTGTGATGTTACCACTGAATCTAGTGAGCCCCCTCCCTTCTCTCCTCCCCCAGTGTGTCCTGACATCAGCCCACCCCCAGTACCAAATACTACATGCCCCTCAGATCCCCCTCCCCCTCCACCCAGAACTGATGCATCAGCATTTACTCATGAACCTTCACCCCCTATTCCTGACATTGCCCCACCCCCAGTCCCTACACGGTCATCTTTATCACCATTGGATGCCCCGCAGGCATCTAAACCTGGGCCACCACCCTTACCCAGTCGACCAGCCCCACCCCCTGTCCCCCCAAGATAATTTATTGTGGACCAGTAAATTACTGAGACTCCTCATCAATGCATCATCTCTGGGTAAGAGCTGACCAATTTTATTTTTTTCAAATTTAGCACAATGTCATAATTGACCGGAATGATGGGCCATTATTACTGAAACAATATCTGAAGCCACGACGGATAAATATCACAATATCATCCCAATAATTGGGAGCTTTAGAAATGATCACGATTCAATGATTCTTCTATGTGGCTGATCAGTGCTAAGTAAGAGTGTGTTTTCTATCAGGTAATCCTATAATCCTATTTGAGATTTCAGGCTCGTTTTCTACATCTTCAGGGTATATTTTGTTGTGAAATCATGGAGCTCAAGTATATTTTAGAACATCATATTCATAATATTGTACACTCAATATCAAATATTTTCCTTTCCTTGTTGTTCCTTGCTGAATTTTATAGGTAGCTTGTATATACAGAAAACAGGAGTCACAAACAGCCTATCTTTAAAGTTCTGCTTACGCTTTGCAACATATCATGGTAGTGAATGGCAGACATTATTTACATGATTCTGGTAGTTCAGAGGCTGGTTGATTAGGACTACAAGCTTCTGATCTCGAAGCTGCAACTGTATTCATAGATAATATAGTATATTCCAATTCGATTGAATTACAGCTTTAGATATTTTATTTGCCCTGAGTTAGCCTGCGTAGCTTAAATTTTGAAGAAGGTGTATTCACTCATTGAACCAATCAAATGATCCATACAGCAAGAATACCAATATTGAGGGATTCTGTAATATCAGTTTAATAATCTTAGAATTTGATATAAGCCCACTTTAAATTTGGGTTGAATAGGTTTAAAAACTTCATTGATTTGAAAAATATCTATTGTAATTAAAATTACTGAAGTAGCTCACAGAAAATAAATGAAACAAAACATCTTCAACACTATTTAATATAGATAGATTCAGTAGGGACATAGGCTGAAAATAGGTCAGTTGTATGAAGATCGCATAGTGTGAAACTCTTAGTAACAACATGTTTCAGGTTCTGTTTTAATATTTTTAGATTAAGAAGATTTTAACTACAGCACAATTCTAAAGTATTATAACTCTATGTATTTATGTTGTTTTTTCTGTTTTGATAATGCTTTACCTTATTATCATTTGTATGGGCTTTCATTTTAAGTGTGTTATTTTGTGTTTTGTAAATAATTCTGTCCATTGTTTTAGAATGTTCTTACATAAGCACTGGCCAAGGTCACAAAGTAAAGACTTATGATATGGTAAATTGTAAAAGGGCGTGGTACCTTATTGATATATTTTAAGGTAAAAAACTGTACATTATACACACCAATACATGTTAGCAGTTTTTACCAATATCATAGTTTTCCCAAAATTTGAATATTGTAGTGTTTAGGAACTAATGACAGTGTAAAAATTTCTTGTTTTACAATTTTTCAATATTACTGAACTATTTGTTACAATGATCCACAATTAAAACTATTTATTATGCCATGATAGATGTCTAGTATAGTATTTAATTTAGATATATATAATGTATTTGAAAAATTTTAATGGAAATAGACTTCTTGAACGCAAACTGAAAATGATAGGCCTACAAAAAGAACCTCCAAGCATCCCAATTTAAACATATTTGGAAATTCTTTATCCCAATGTTATGATAGGTTTCTAGATTTAGTTAATATTGTATATAATTTAGATGTATTTATTTATTTACCCTGTGAACACTGAGTGATACAGTATCATATATACTCAATTCTTAATCTTTTAAAGCCTGAAACATGGTATTTATGATGCAATTGATGTTATTTTGTGACTTGTAAAGCAGTTGATTGGTTGATAAATCAGAATCTATAGCATTTAATGAAAAATTGACACCATAGTCTTAAGAGGGGAAATTAGAATGGTGTGGTGCAAGAAGCTGTATGAGTCTCACAGGTTCTGACTGCCCTAGCTCTGGAAATTTGTGAAGTTATTGAATGTCACTCAACCATTAACCTATCGAGAAGTTGATCATAATTATAAGAAGTTGGGAATTTAGAAATTAAAGTAACAACTATCCCAATTTCTCAAACAATAGAACATAATTTACTATCTCCATGCAATGATAGATAGCTAGATTATTGTAGATAATTCTAGTTGTATTTATTTTATTATTATATCATTCTATAATAGCATATCGTTGAAGGGAAAATAATAGATATAGTAGGACAAAGAAATGTGCACATCCTTCGATGATTCAAAATATTATTGTCAGCAAACGGCCTCAATGAAAGTTATGCTAGGGCTCTGCCGAGAATTGCTGAATGAAATCAATTTTGTGCGGAGGTAGAATATTTGATATAATACAAGTCAGACCTATAAGGTGTTTAATGTACAATACTTAGTAATTGAAAAGTAAGAATTATATTTTATTTTTGATTTTGGTCGAGCCAGAAATAAATTCCATATTAGTCTGACTTATTAAGTTTCATTGGTATTTATTCTACCTGAAATAATGTTCTCTTGTTTATATTTTGAATTATCACCTGAGACTGTACACATTTCTTTGCTCAATATGTGACCCGCACATCAAACCAGGTATTAAGTAGTATTTGGTGTATGTAGAGCTATTATTATATTTGGATTCCTGGCATCATCAGCTACATTTTGATACCAATTCCATCTCAATAGCTTTCTCCGTTCAGAAGATATAGTCAATTTGATATCCAGATTTGAGTCCCCTTAAATACTTCACTGTCAGCTTATTACTGGGCAGTGCAACTTAATACCTGATACGATGTGCCAGGTTACATATGTAGGTAGCTAGATTGCTGTTGTATAAAATTAAGCTTTAAGAGGTTGGTAAAGATCATGCATAATAATAATTGTATGTATAAATATGTATACTCAAAGTTAGATAGCATCGAAATGAATCATAGTTTTACATATTCTGCTGCTCCCAATTTTGCTAATGAATTCAGTCATGCAATGTGCCATGAGGGAAATTTTGCTTGGATCATAATTAGGGTTAATAGAAATCTTATGCATGAAGATCTCGTATATATACATATATAATAATTAAACCTGAAAAGTTGTTATCACCTTTTGTAACATTCCATGACGTTTTGTTAGTAAATCAACAGAATGTATTTATTTTACAGTATCAAGGTTATATATCAGTATATCTATATTAAGTCTTTGAATGGCATTTAGCAATTGTGAGTACGAAACAAGTCGAAACGTTGCACAAAACTTAAACCAGTGATTGTTGTTCCATAAGGCTGTGTCTATATATATATATCTATTTAGTCAAGAACATACGAAACTACGCATTTGACATTGTGAAGATGACTACGACTAGATGATACTGCCTCAGAATGGATTATTAGCTATGTGAGATGAAACAATAGAAACTATATATATGTAGGTGAAGATATAAGTAATTGGTGTATAAGATAGAGAAATATTGTATAGATATTGTTAATGTTATGTAGATTAGATACACAGAGTTTTAGACACTAGAATATAATAAATTATAAAACACAAAAGCTTTCTTTATAATCATTGTCATAACCCCTTAGTGTATAAAACACAAGAGCCCTTAGTGTATAAAACACAAGAGCCCTTAGTGTATAAAACACAAGAGCCCTTAGTGTATAAAACACAAGAGCCCTTAGTGTATAAAACACAAGAGCCCTTAGTGTATAAAACACAAGAGCCCTTAGTGTATCAAACACAAGAACCTATAGTGTATCAAACACAAGAGCCCTTAGTGTATAAAAAACAAGAGCCCTTAGTGTATAAAACACAAGAGCCCTTAGTGTTTCAAACACAAGAACCCATAGTGTATCAAACACAAGAGCCCTTAGTGTATCAAACACAAGAACCTATAGTGTATCAAACACAAGAGCCCTTAGTGTATAAAAAACAAGAGCCCTTAGTGTATAAAACACAAGAGCCCTTAGTGTATCAAACACAAGAACCCATAGTGTATAAAACACAAGAGCCCTTAGTGTATAAAACACAAGAACCCATAGTGTATCAAACACAAGAGCCCTTAGTGTATCAAACACAAGAGTCCCTAGTGTAGTTCTTTGCACCTCCAGAAATAAAATGAATGGAGTTTTACATCCTACATTTCTGGTAATAAACACCAGTAAGGAAATCCGCATAGCTGTGAGCATAGTCTATAAAGCAAAGAGTTACAGATTCCGCCTTTGATGCTTTTTCAACATCAATCCTTCATCCACGTCTTTAACAATGGAAACCCAAAGAAAAATATTGGAGAGTCTTTGCCAGGGCACTCGTGGCTCCTGAAGAAAAGAAATCTTACATGTATTTATCAAGTAGCATACAATATCAATTGGACTAATTAACATTTTCAGGCTAACGGGCTAAAAACGGGCCAAGGGATAAAACAAAACAGTGTAACTAAAACCTCAGTTTTATTCAAAAGTCAACAAAATGTTTGTAATAACCTAAACCATAACAACTATCAACTATAATGATCTGTAGCCACCAAACCAGAATTCAAATAACCAACAATTTGATGAAAATTAGATCCTTTAAAATTCTTACACACGCTTTCAACCTCTGGACCACTGAGTGAATATCCTTTTTTACTGTTAGTTCTGTCAATAGCATGAAATTCAGTTCTTACAACTTGTCGTTGAGGATTTTGAGTGTCAGAAATGTCACTGTGGCTGTTTGCGACAGGCATCTCAGCAATTTCATTATTCGTGTCTTTTACTTTCTTAGATTTCTTCTTCTTCGGGGGAGAAGCATTAATACTTGTATCCTCCATTTCATTTTCAATATCAACAATTTTTGTTTTCTTTGACTTTTTAAGTTTTTTAGAGGTAGGCGTATTTTCGTCAGAATTTTCCATTTCAAGATCACTTGTACTATCATCAACAGACTTGGATCTTTTCTGTTTCTTCTTTGACTTCTTTTCCATTGAAATATCAGCCAAAATCGCATCGTCATCATCCAAAATGGATTCCTCAACCTTACTCCTCTTTTTCTTCTTCTTTGTTTTTTCTTTGACAGTTTCAGTTTCTGAATCCAAAATAGAATCGTCTACAAAACTCTCAGACAATTTTCTGGTTTTCTTTTCGTTTTTAGATATTTTAGCTTTCTTTTTCTTTTTTGGGGTGGATTCTTCCAAATTTTCATCAGATTCATTGTGACTTTCATCGATCAAATTGCAAATTTTCGATTTCTTGTCTTTAGTTTTCTTTCCAACATTGTCAATATTGTCATCAGACAAACATACATTGTGATATTCTGGGAATTTGGGAGTTTTCTTTTTCTTGGATGATCCATTTTGAAAAGGGTGTATCACTTCCTCCATATTGTTTTTGCTCTTCTTTCGTTTTGGAGTTTCAACAATTTCGGTCTCAGATTCATCTTGCTTTGACTTCTTGGATTTTTTCTGCTTTTTGAGAATTTGGAGAATTTCTGTAGTTTCTTCACTTTCTTCAATGTCGGTTACTTTACTCTTCTTTTTCTTTTTTCTAATTTTCACAAAATTTTCTTCTACATTTTCATCCCCATCACTTTGTTCATCTTCGAGTTCTAATTCTAATTTTTTCTTCTTTTTAGATTTTTTTGGACTGTTTCCATCAACGCCATTTTCACCAACATTTTCAGAAATATCGTCACTATCTTTGTCAAACTCAAATAAATCATAATTCAAGTTAAAACTGACTCTTTTCCGCTTTTTAGACTCTGCGAGATTCAAACTTTTATCAACATCATTGGACGGATCTGATTGGTTACTACTGTCTGACTGTTCAGCACCAAAACCATTGTAGGAAGATGATTGGTTGTTATTGTCACTTGTGCTCATCATAGCTTCTTTACGTTGTTTCATTTTAAGAGCGAAGTACTCCTGAATGCTACAAGTGTTTGTAAAAGTTTTTACGCCATGATCTGTGTCCTGAATTTCGTTTGTAGTGACCTTGACCTCTTCAACTACTTCCTCCTCCACCTAAAAACAGAGAAATCATCCAACATATTTTCATCTAAATATATAAATTTTTTTCTTTTAAATATATGATTTGCAGACCAAAATTTCAAAATTCAAATTCAAAATTCTCATCAAATCATACATGATACATTTTGTTGATAAACTGTACCATTGAAATAGAAAACAAATTCTGAGTTCACTGATTTGACCAGCATTTTCTCACTTGATCGAATGAAAGAATTGAAAGATAACAATAAAGAATGCCTCTTACAGCTAGGGCCTTAATCTCAAAACTTAAATTTTAGATTTTTCAGGGGAAATAATTCTACTTACAATTTCCTCCTCAACTTTCGTCTTTTTCTTGTGTTTTTTGGTTCCAAATATACATTCTAAATCTTGTTTGGATCTTGAGGATAAATCTTTTCCTTTGGTAAACTTCATATAGCTAAAAATACATTTTAAAAATCTTCATTCTGTCCACTAAGATTTGCTTGATAAAAACTTTGCTTAATAGAAAATCAGTAATTGTTTTCTATAATAAGTGGCCTGGTCATAAAGCTTACATACCAGCAATATATGCTCCAGCTTACACGAACTCTTTTATAAGTTAATCTCCATTTTCAAAACTACTTGTCCTGATGAGGATTGAATATCCGAAACACATGCTGGCAGAATGAGATGAGCTTTAATCAATTAGCTAACATTTAGTCCTATTTTGAACGTTAACCTCCACAACTATCCGCAGCTATCCTGATGACGATCGAATACAGAAAACATGTGTCAAAATCATGAGCCTCTATTCAATCAAAGAACCAGATTTACTTACTGGACACGTTTTCGTGACGTTTCTGATTTTTTCTCCAAACTGACGACTTTCTGATCCTGGCCATCATCTGAATTATTCTGATCCTGATTCAGGGATTGTAAGAGATCGTTAAAATCATCCTGATGTTCAATCCATTTATCAGCAAACTTCTTGCTACAGCCAACTCCTATAATAAAAGCAGAAAAATGGCGTTGTACAAATCAGGTGATGTCAAAGGGACCATGCCATTCAAGTAAAGATTAGATTTAAGGCCAAGGTTCACTATTTTCAGGGGTTGATTTCAACTTTGAATACATTTCTTCAGGATACCAGTAATGTATGTAAGAAGGCTAAAATTGTTGAAGGTAAGCTGAGACTAAGGTCTAAGCTATGATTGACCTCTGAAAATCGTAAACGTAGTACTTTTCTGCAGCTAATTGGCTAACGAATAAAGGAAATGCAGTGTGCAATGAGAGAAATTTTTCTGCCCTTTTTCGATTCCCAACTGTCGAGAGATCTGTAATGTGCACAGTCTGTGGAACATGGGGAATTGGTTTAATGTCCCATCTGAATGACAAGACGCTTTTCCCATGTCAGCCCTTCTTACCTGCATCACTGATCTATGCATGGTTTGAAACCTGGACCTTTAGCGAACTCATCTGAGTAACTGCTCCCTCCCAGCTGAAAATGGTGCCCCATATCTGTTAGAGCATTTACTAAAAATGATCATATAAAAAAATACCTTTGTTATCAGATTTCATTTTAATTCCAACATTTTCAACTCGGCCATCTTCATTAGCCCCCAGACCTTTACCTTTACTCCACCCATACTTCTCCATAAGTTTCTGACCAAATTTACTGTCATCTGAAATATAAACAGATCAGATAAGCTTACTCTTCTTTTTTACAAGAGGTTGCCCAAATAAGTTGTGAAGTCTATGGGTGCTATTAGAAAAAACATCATGAAACAAATTAAACAATGTGGACTCTAAAAGGGATGCTGAACTGATAAACCTGAATACTAGCTCTTTGATAAAATGGCAAGAAGTTGATCAAATCAGTTAGGCTATAAAGTCGCATCAGGTACTATTTTTTTAAATCCAGTCATTTTTATCCTGTGCCATTTTCAATTTTCTTCCATCATAGAAATGTAATATATTCTATGCTTCCATGTTATTTGGCAACCGCAACATATTAAATTGAATTGACAATATTTTAAAAACAATTCAGTTCTAAAGCATTTCAGTTGACCCTAAGCCTAAACAAATTTTTTTTATAAAATGCCTGTTAGTCAAGTAAGTAAAGTTAGTGTTCATAAATGTGAAAAAAATAAAAATTATCTGTGACCATTTGGCCTGACACCTTTGTTTAATCAGCCTGAATAAACATTTGATTTCTTAATCCTATCATCTAATCTGATTAAGGTGTTAAATCAATCAACCGATTAAGAGCTTAAGTTAAAGCTAAAGATAAACCGATGTGGTCTGAGTCTTTGATGGAAATGTAAACATAAAAAACACCACGTGTTCTAGCTTCAATTGAGAATTACATAAAATCAGCGAATTTCCCATAATCAAATATAATATCATAATGACGCAGAACATCTTATAAAGACTTCTGACATTTAAAACTTTACAAACCATTGCTCCAGTGAGTTCCACGAGGATTTATTGAATATTTTTGTTTACGTCGTGGCTCTGCAAGCATCGCCATTTTGAACGTCACGTGATAACTTTGGTTCATAAAGTTAGGAATCCAATGATTGGTTGAATCTTTGAATCATTATCCAATCAAATCATTTTACCTTTAATTTTAATTTTGAGGTCAAAGGTGAACCTCGTCTTAATGCTAAATTTATCCGACAGAGGGCGGGAGTATCGTCCAATCAAATTCGCGTATTAGAAATTTCAACCAATCATTTGACACCCAACCAAACAAGCAGACTAAAATTTGAAATCCGCTGTTCATGGAGTGAAGCCTGTGAAATAATCTCTTCCACTTTTCCATCAATTTATTCCATATTTTGTATGAAATTTAAGAACCAGAAACCATGAGCAGTGCAAGAAAAGACGAAGTTGAAATTCCCGACATTGTGGAGGATCCATCAACTGGGAATCGTTATATGAAAGGAAGATATCTTGGAAAGGTAAACGATCAAGAAAAAAATTCATGTCCGATCATAAACAAAAAAATGTCGGAAACAAAGCTCAAAATTGGTCACCTGTGGTCACTATTTTTTGAATTTATGGACTCATTTTTGATGAAATATCTGTCTTGTATGTTCTGAATTATCGCAAAGTCAATATTTTATTTATTTTGGCTCCATTTTGATTTGTTTTCACCTTGATTGATTTGTTGACAAATGTTGCGCTTGTTCCAATTCAAGTTTAAACATGACCATGTTGTGGTGATAGAGTGCAATGTTGACTGTTATGTGTTTTCACTGACTCAGTCAATGACTGCCAAGAAAGTGAAGTGAAAAGTTCACATTGAACTATTTTGACCTGGGTCTTTTCATGATCAAATCTGTTCAGTTTGTTGCTATTTTAGAGGCATTGAAATTTTATTTTGATCGTAAAATCAAAAGTTAAGGAAAAGTTGCCTTTTTTTAAAATTTAAACTAAAGTTAATCATGATCTTGAATAAGCTTTATAAATAGACAAACTTATCCCCATCGGTATATCTTTTATAAAAGTTTAAAAGATAACTTGAATAACAAAGAATTAATATTTGCCTTTTGTTGAATTTTCAAATGCTTGCCATTTTTTTTGGACTGATTTTGTTCAACTCTCCCATCCTTTACTTTGTCTCAAAGTCAACCTCTTAAAAAATTAGATATTTTATTTTCTAAAACTAACATTGTCATTAACAGGTGTCTTCTACAAGTTGAACACTTGAAAAAAAAAAATTCTTACGAAATTGCAAAAAATCAATGAAATTCCATTTTTGAACTTAAACTGGGAGCTATAATAAATTGCTTTAAAGCCATTAAATGATTGCTGGAACTATTATAGTTCATTTATTGTCATAATTGTTGTATTATGATAAGTATTGTATAATTGTGTGGGTGACAACTCTCGGCACTTATAATTTATAAGTTAATCTTCTTATGTTACAGGGAGGATTTGCAAAATGTTACGAACTAACGGACATGGTGACGAAGACAATTTACGCTGGGAAGGTGGTTCCCAAATCACTACTGGTCAAACAGCATCAAAAAGACAAAGTAGGATTCTGATTAAACATTCAACGAGTCATTTAACAAGTCTTAATAATTCTGTTATTCTCAACCCATTTCTGACATATATGGAATGCAGTGAGTTGATGAGAGTAAAACACAAATCAAGTTTTTCTATGGTTCTTAGAAAGTTGTTTAAATTCAGCTTGTGAAAAGGTTTGTTGCCTCTAGGCAATAACTGTTGCATGCCATCAGAAGTTTCTATTTAATAAACATACTTACATCATCGATATTTTATTTTTAGATGGCACAGGAGATCAATATTCACCGTAGTTTAAACCATAAACATGTTGTCCAGTTTCAAAAATTCTTCGAGGATTCAGCTAATGTTTATATTTTACTAGAGCTGTGTCGTAGAAGGGTAGGTATTGAATCTCATATATAGGGAATAAATAAGCCAAGTACTAACGATCCGAAATGCAAAACAACAAATCCAAACAACATATTGGTGAAACATTGGTAGAAGCTAGTTAACTTTTCATATGAGGAAATATATCAATCATAATGAAAAGAGGTATCAGGTGTCTAGAAGAGTAAGCATATCTTGCCTGGCACCACACCCGACATAGCTGCTCAACATACACAACTATAATGAAAATATGGTCCATACTATGTAAGATTGATTCTGTCCTAGAAGTGATGCCTGTACTTACATTACACCCATATTGTGTCCATTGTATAGGCCTACATCTTATGTAAAAAAGAAAAAAAACATACATTAACTTTGATGCCTGACATGGTCTTTGAAAATTAGTCAGGTTTCAAATTTTGACCACCAACTAAACAAAATTAAAGACAATCCATTCTTTTGTTAACCATTGATACCTAGCCTATTAAGAGACAACTTGATGTCAAAGATATTTACAACTTGATGTCAACTCTTGTCTTTATCGGTTTACTGCCTTCCACAAAAGACAATATAAAAACTCAACACTTGTTTAGATCTGGATAAAGATTATCTTAAAGCTTAATCAAATTTTAATCTTCATTTTCCAGACATTAATGGAATTACAGAAGAGAAGAAAATCGATCACAGAACCCGAGACACGATATTTTTTACGTCAAACTATCGAAGCGTGTCAATATTTACATAATATCAACGTCATTCATCGTGATCTCAAACTAGGTAACCTGTTTTTAAACGACGATCTAGAAGTTAAGATTGGTGATTTTGGTCTGGCTACAAGATTGGAATATGATGGGGAGAGAAAAAGGTAATATTATAAACATTTTAAAGAGATTGTAAAGAGGTTTTCTAAATTTTGATATGTATCAGGGACATCGATAGCATCAATATGCACCAATCCAATTGTCACAAACTGTGTGCTGTAGAAATTTCACTTCATTAGAGGCACAGAAATGCTTTTTCTGAACCGAAGGACATAAAAGCATAATTAGATGTGTAACACTCGTTAAAATCGATTTTAGTGACCAATCAGATGACTGATATAGAGTAAAATTATCATTACTTGTCATTTCGAGGTTAGATCAAACTCAGTCTTAATTAAAATTAGACAATAAGTGCATTCCGAGGCATTTTAAACTTGCAAACTTGATAAGCTAGTCTAATATGCTCGGAATGCACCTATTATTTGCGTCACATTTATCCCGTCGTTGGAATGGGCAGCGAAGTGATTGGTTAAAACAGAGGTCAAGCAAAGGTTATCAGAATGAAAAGTCAAGAAGGATAGGGTTAGACCTTACTGTAGTGGTTAAGTACAAAGGTGATAGGTAATAAAACATTGGAAACGAAACTAGTAAAATATGAACGGATATTAGGGGAAAATGATCCAATTTTTACAAGTTTTGTATATGTTTTTCTTCTTCAGAACATTATGTGGTACACCAAACTATATTGCTCCCGAGGTTCTAGGGAAAGTTGGACATAGTTTTGAAGTTGATATATGGTCTCTAGGTTGTATCGTGTGAGTACTATATCTTTCAATAATAATAAAAATGGCAAACATATTTTTTTTCTAGAATAGAATTAAATATCTTTTCTATCAACTTATTTTTGATATTAAATTGAAATATTTTACAAAGTTACTGCCCTTGTTGAGGTGAATGATTTGTGACAGTCTACACCAAAATGTTTAAAATCTCTATCATGTCAATTGACCTAGTGCAGTCAAAACCAATTTTTTAAAAACATCTATATGTGCACAGTCTTGTATAAGTAAATATTAAAACATGATAATGTTTAGTTTCTTTGTAAAGTAAATATCAGTATAATTGATGTTAGGAATAATCAATGGGCTGATCTATTTAATTGTTTAATGTTGACAAGGTTTTGCTGCATTTGTTTTCATGTGAACAAAAGCTAGATTTTTTGGGGATAAAGGGCTGAATGAAGATCTCATATAAAAAATTGAAAGGGAAGGTTTTTGTGTGATATTCTAAAAAATAAAGTCATCCCCTGTACATTATTAAAACATAGAATTCAGGGTATATGAAGTTTTATTGTTTCACACTCTGTGTGTCTAAGAGCCTAAAGGATGTTAACTTTTCCATGAGATCTCAGTTTTGAAAGTTTTACAATGTTGGTTTTATTTCAGATATACTTTATTAGTTGGACGTCCACCATTTGAGACATCCTGTTTAAAAGACACTTACTTACGAATCAAACACAACCGGTATCATGTACCGTCTAAACTCAGCACTCCTGCTAGAAATCTCATCAATAAAATGTTGAAGGGAAATCCTACTGAACGTCCAAATATCAACCAACTTTTAGACGAAGAATTCTTCACTTCTGGTGTGTACAAGTTGTTCTAATATTTGTCAATGATCACATAAAAAAGGTTCACAAGGATCCTCTCTACCAGCTGGTCTTTGGCCAAACTTCTTGATATTGAACTTTCCCAGATTATTCATAGCCATTTACAGCTGGGTGGCCTAGAATTATGAGGAAAGTTGACTTATTAATCAAGGCTATCAGACTATCACACATCAAGAGAGATTAAATCTTAAGCTCAGCATTTGTTCAATGTAAGTTAGAAAATGATATGTAATATATTTATTTTTATATCAGGTTATTTACCCTCTCGTCTACCAACTAGTTGTTTAACCATGGCTCCTAGATTTGATACTATAGCTAAATCAGAGACTTTATTACGTAAACCATTATCAGACATCAACAGTGGAGGTAAGTATTGCCTATTTATTATTATATAGTTTAAAATCAGGGCCCAATCGCTCAAAAATCTTATGACCATGTTTGGTATATGTGTAGAATTTTAGCTTGAGAATTCCCACCCTTATATTGTATTATGAATTTATAGATGTGATAAAGATTTTGAGGAAATAGACCTTAAGTGTAGTTCGTTTTAAATTCACGTCTGGTAAATACTACTAGATCAGCATGCCTCGTTGAAATTGTCTTAATAATGTTATAGCTCAAACTTTAGATTGAATAATGGTCCAGTTTAATATAATGGTTTTCTAATTTGATTATTGATAGAAACTGTACGACCAATGTCAACTGATATGAAGAAAGACTCGGATAAGAAGGAGGCTGGTGACGGCTCAGAACGACCTGAATCTTTACGACAGAGTAAGTTTCCTTTCTTTTCTGCTTCTAGTGGAGTACTTTGTTTCCTTAGTTAGTCTTATCTTTTGCATCAAATGATAAAATTCCTTTCAGAAGAAAGTAAACTGAATGTATATTCTGGAAATGATATTAGCACTAGGATGTCCTAGTGTCCTAACTTCTAACACTGTTAGTGGGGTATCCTAGCACTACGTTGATTTCCAGAATACGTGGCCAGGTCTCTCAAAGTTTTTGTTAGTAGTTTTGTATATTGTTAGGAAAAGATGACCCACAAGTAACAACTTCCTACAAATAAAAGATTTAGATTCAGATATGGATCAAATCTTACATAATTTCAGTTATGTAATGAGTTATAAGATTCTGTTAAGGTTTTCCTTTGGAAGATGGAAATCAAAAAGAGTGTTCTAATGTTGCTGTCTTGACAAAATTTCCCTCATTGCACCTATAGTATAGTATGGAACTTACCTGTACTTCTTACCTCAAACAGGTGTAGAATGTTATGACTTTAAACTCATTTCTGGACCTCATTCTGACGATATAGAAGTTATTATTAATGATAGACATTGTTTAAGTTGTAAGTTTAGTAGTTTGTAAGTAATGAATCATGTTCTATATTGTGTTTTATAGATGAAGAACCATTAGACTATTGGCTATCAGATTTATATAATCAACTCTCTACAGCTATAGCCTCTAGACCTGGAGAGCGTCTTAATGTGGTGGAAGGTATGTTGTTTGTTTCATTGATTTGTAAGCTAAAACACATCAATATTTATAGTTGATGAGTTATAATGAATGGTGTATGTTTTGTAAAATGATTTGAAGGTTTCAGTTCAAATTAATAATGCTTCAAGAGGGATGAAATCTTTATGAGTTGGTAGTTTCCACCAACACAATTCACAAGTTCACATTTATCTATGTCTGGATTAATTTGCTATCCTGATATAAATTCGTAAACAAGGAACCTTGAATTAAAAATTGTCTGAAATTATTTCACAATATACAGAAATTAATACGCTTTGAAATAGTGTGTTTGAATATTTACATGATGTCCTTTGAATATATACTCGGTTGGCGTGTTTAAGTCTTGGGACCTTGAGTCTATGAATAATCTTTCCTCATTATTCCTGTAGACCCAGCTGTAAATGGGTACAGATAATCTAGGAAAGATCAATGCCAAGAAACAGCATGGATACATGCGAACATAAGTTTTTTTCCTTGTTAAAAAATTGGTTGTTTCTTTCTTATTGAATGTATATATGTAATCAATGTTATATTATAGATGCTGCAGAAGACCCCGCCTCTATGCCTATTTACTGGGTATCTAAATGGGTGGATTATTCTGATAAATATGGTTTAGGCTATCAACTTTGTGATAACAGTGTTGGCGTTCTGTTCAACGATTCTTCTAGACTTATATTATTAGCTAACGGAGAGTAAGTCGTCTTCTTACCTTGATTTCCAGGTCCTCTTCATTGATTCTGATAATCATGTTCTATAAAGTAAAATATTGCAACTCATATAACGTTTTGGAACTAATATTTTTCTCACCATATTTATTTTTGTTCCATTGATTTCATGAAAAATACAATAGCCTAAATCTTAAATTTATGAGTTTGTAGTAGGATGGGAGCCTATGGACACCTATTGGTTAGAGAGCTCAAAGCTGCATAGTCCATCCCCGGATCTATTTGTCAATTCCCAGCCCCTGGTCAGAGTGAAACTCAGTTTTTATATAGTTAAAATGTAAGCTTATTTAAAAGGTGATTCCCCTAAGAAGAAATTAATATTGTAATGTTTCTCTAGCTTCAATCAAGCTTTTTCAGCTTTGGTAGATGGTTATGTGATAACATTGAGGTTAGAGGTCAAACTCAGCATGGGCCAAAAGGGTCTCTTTTGTCTCTGAAGCACCTAATATCACTGTTACTGAGATTGTGAACTTTCCATCCATTCCTGTAACTATCTAATTATTTTTTCCAGAAATGTACATTATATAGAACGAGATGGTAGAGAACATTATCACACTCTGAAAGTTTTCCCTGAAGATTTGACAAAGAAAGTGACATTATTAAAATATTTCCGTAATTACATGAATGAACATCTTCTCAAGGTATGTTGACTGGCTGTAGCACAGTTGGTTTGAGTGAGGTAATTTTTACATGACCTCTCATTGCGTGAAACAAATGGTAGTCACAGGTTCTATGTAATTATCCTTGTAAAAAAATAAGGTTCTTAATACAGTTCCTGACATTGTTCTGTTGTATTTCAGGCTGGTGCTAACATGGTACCAAGAGAATCAGATGAGATGGTCAGATTACCGTATCTACGTACGTGGACCAGGACTAGAAGTGCTATAGTTCTACATCTCAGTAACGGTACCTTACAGGTAAGATTAAAATTCTGTCAAATGATCAAAAAACTGATCAACCCAAGGTTGCCACATGTATTGTATAATTGCAGTTATAGTGAACAAGCGAACTATTTGATTGATTGGTGTTTCTAATGAAATATCATGTATTCTTAATCATATCATTATGTTTTTATTGCATATAATTAAGAGTTTTAACCAATCATTAATATCTGTTTGTACAGTCTGGATAAACCAAAAAAGACTTTCTGACCTTTCTTGATCGGTCACTCGTTGGAATTTTCATCATTATAAAATATTTCTGGTTATCTATTATAGATCAATTTCTTCCAAGATCATACAAAGGTGATCCTCTGTCCTCTGATGCAGGCTGTGACGTATATAGATGAAAAACGAGACTTCAGATGTTTTAGATATAACCTCATAGAGAAGTTCGGATGTTCGAAGGAAATTTGTAGTCGACTGCGTTATGCTAGATCAATGGTGGAAAGACTCATGACGATCAAGTCTTCAGGACGCGTTTCAGGCAAAATTAAATCTACTTCATAGACAACTACTTGAAGAACAAAGTGCTATAGACTTACAGTGTTCAAATTGCGATCTCCATATCAAATTCACAGGCATTATCGACTGCCCACTGTCGTGTGTTACTAGATGTACATACATACGTTAGGGGAGAGAACTCATCATTTATTGTTACGGCAGTGAATATATCGTAAATCAAAATGGTGATATATTGGCAGTTTTTGAAGAATTTCAAATTTTTATTCAGAATCAAATAAGATCAAATTTGAATTTTTATTCTAATTTAAAAAAAACGAAAAAAAAAACTTGCAATTTGCTCACGACACACGATTGAAACAAAGAATAATGTTTGTTTATCAAATATTTCCATCAATTTTGATCCTCTTTCAGGACATAAGGAGAAATCATTTAAGGGAATAAAATTTTTGAAAGACAAAAAAAAATGCAAAATTTTATCAATTTGTTACGAGAGCATTATTAAATATATTTAAGTGGGAGACTAGCTTTTAAGTTGCATTCTGACTGTAGTTAAAGAGGCCATTCCAAGTCTGATTTTGTGTATCTCTAGCCTTAGTTTGTTTGTTGCAAAAGATTTTGGGTCTATAGGAAAGTATTTGGTTATAGTGTTTGAAAACCATCAAAACTAATCTTATTGGGTCAAATATAAGTTGTATTTCACCATTGGGTATCTAAAAACATAGCCTATAGGCATGGCATGGCATTATCTTGTGACATTATTCGAAGGTAACTTAAAAGAAGTGAAATCTATTTTTTTTGTTCCACGTGATCTAATCAAGAGATAAAGGCGTTGTGTTGAAGAGCATGGGCATGTGTTATGATTTCTTATTGAAAGTATGCTAGATCATTATTTTAGCTGTAGATTAAGCTAATGCTGATCTATTGACAAATATTGAGTCGTTCTAAAGTTTGAAAAACAAGACATAAAACTCCTATTTACTTTTATTTTGAGGGTTTGACGGCACCCAAGATTCACAACATTCCTGTTAATAATAAAATTGTTCATGCAAGTTGTATACACTTGACTAGGGAATTGATTATGCGGAGGATGCATAATAATAATCCTTCATTGATGCTTGCTTGATGACAGCGCCACATCCTGGTTTTCCAAGCTCCATCTAACGTTATTATCGATCTCTGTCTTAGATTTTCTTAGTATCAATAAAAAGTAATGGGCAATTTGCATCTTTCAATCAGAAACCATACCAAGTTATATTTCAGATAAAATGTGCATTTAAAAAGTTATCATTTATATTTTCAAGTTTCATTGAAATCATGTATAAACTCAGTGTAAATATTTTGTATTTAAAACTTTTATTGTCAGGGGAAGATAATTCTACAAATATTGTTAATAGGGCATTCACACTTGGAGACTTCATCGTTATTTCAAAGACATTATAATTTCTGTTTAAATTTGTATAATTTAGAAATTCTGTCATTTTTGGAAGGCTGAATATAAGTGCCAAACCATAGGTGGTTTTACTTTTGTAGAGGTATCACATTTTTGTGACACAAAGATGGTACTTTTTTTTTGGAGGAGTCCACTATTATACAATTTTTACACTTGATTTTTGTCAGGTTTTGGACAAGATTTTGATTAACGGAATTTTCTTGCTTTGAACGAAAGCACAAAATTATATTATGACAATCAAGGCCTTCAATGTAGAATTATCTTTCCCTTCTCACTTCCTTTTCCTGGCCAGATCAAAATGGCTGCCATCTCCTGACTTGCTATCTTGTATATAATGTATTTTCTTCGTCTCAATCCAAATCTTTGGAATATATTTTGTACGTAAATACTTTGAGGTGTTAAAACCAAATATTGTTATAAAATTTATTTCCCTTTATTTAGTGTTTTCTTTGTGATCCCAAATCTCCAGTTTCAGTGTTGTTGAATTATGTACAAATTGATAAAAGATGTCTCTTATTTAAAATGTTCCGATGGCTTGCTAGTTGTTACAATATAATCTGGTAGCCGTGGTGGTTCATTGAGTTTGACGTTTGCTCACCGACCTGAAGGTCCAGGGTTCATTAGCCCACATGGTGCAGAAGTAGGACGTAAAACTCCATTCATTTCATTTCACAATAGGATCTGACAATGCGCCTAACAATATATCCAAATCTTGAGGAAAAAAACATGGGAAATAGCCTGTTTTTTAAAGTTTTTAAAAAGGTTTTCTAAATTTGTTATGTGTATTGAGGACACTGATAAATTTAAGCTGCATCATTTCAATTTTCAATCAGATGTCTGTGGTTTTTGCAATTCCACTAAAAATAAGCATTTTATGACATCACTATCACCTTGGTGATATCATTAGTACCTTTTGTGATAGTGATGTCATAAAAAGCTAAGGTTTAGAGGAATTGCAAGAACCAGACGTATGATGGAAAAATGGAATGATGCAAATTGATGCTATCAATGTCTCCTATTATAGGGCAATTAGATATGTGATACATTGTCTGCCGAGGTCATTAAATAGGAAATTTTCATTCACAACAGATACAAAAAATATAATCTTATTATTTTATGTAAAAGGTAAAAAATTAGAGAAAGCAATAGTACCAAGTACAAAATAACCCAAGAAATATATTAATAATGATTTAAAAATGAGACTCTGCAAAGACCAATGAGAAAACTGGTGAAATATATCTGATTCTGAATTAGGCCGTGGTTTTGGTTCCGATAAAGCTTTAAATGTATCGTAACGATTGATAGTCTCAGCAGGCTGAAGTTTATCAGTTATGAGATAGGCTGAGTACCAAAATAACACCGGACAGGAAGAACATAACATTCGAGTCAAAACCTGAAATATACAACAAAAATAAATCACAGTCGAGCAAAGGTATTTCTGGGCAGACGGGGAAGATTCAAAACATAAAGGAAACAATTGAACATTTTCAGCAAGAATCAAGTCTGGAAATATTTAATGTTTTTTAAGATTGAGGTCAATAACTCATATTAAATACTTCTCAATTTTTTATAACAAGGTACATCCTTGATCTTTGGGTGATAGTTAACAATTTCACTAAGTTTCGTCAAGATCCCTCAAGAATTGTGCCAAATATGGACTGACAGGCGGATGGAGACATTGGCACAATTCCTGACAGTTCTTTACCAAACTCGATGAAATTGTCACCAAGATTATTAGCCGATAATGTTTTTTGAATGTTTACCCATGTAGTTCATGGATCAACCAAAAATGGACCAGTAAAAAACTTTGTGATATAGTTTGTGTCTTCTTTTTATTGAACACCCTATTTCAAGTGGGCGTATAAAAAGTAAAAAATCACCTGTATATGCACAAAACACAGTCCAAATAAAACTAAAAACAGTAGATGACCACAGTGAACTAATAACTTCTTATTCTTAAAACCTAAATCAACTTCAATTTCCTCAGTCTTCTGCCTTGAACTGGTTTTCTTTCCCAATCCCAATGTCAAACATGTCCATGTGTTTCTTTTAAAATATGTCCAAACACAAGATAAACTTAATATAACTATAGGAGTAGCTAACAGAAAATTAGGAATTTGTTGCTTTTCATAATATTTCATAAATCCCACTTCCCAGTGATGTTTTTGAACATAGCCATACGATAATGGTATGATGTCATGACACCATGGTGATAAATCGTCACCAAGGATATGATAATTTCTCTTCCAGCCATATTGAATGATGTGTTCTGGAAGCTCGTAAACTTCGCTGTTACAGAAATTCCAATAACAAATATATTGATAGATCAAAAATGGTGCAGCTGCTGCTATACCACAAAGTAAAGTCTTAACAAACGCAAAACCTGTTATTGCTCTCAGCAGAAGTTTGCGATCTGCCTCATTTTCAGAACTCTTTTTCCTTTCGCCCATCAGTTCCAGTGAAACAAGACTTTTCATGAAATCTTCCAAAATTGAGTATAGCACAAAACCCAACGCAATTAAACCATTGGATCGTGCTAATGTACATAGACCAATCAGAATGGCTGCTTTAACATTTGAATCCCTATGAACACTTTCCATGCTTGACATCAATAAAAAACAATAAATCGTTTCCGAGTAAGGTGCTGACATAAAGACACTGGCCGGGTTAAAACAGAATAAAATGGCTGCCTTGAATGCTAAATTCTCTTCATTGAGAATAGATAATCCTAATTTGTATAAAAGTTGAGCACATTTCACAAATAAAAAATTATTTAACAAAAAAGCCCAGAGTAATACAGTGTTGGAATAAGATAAAAAAAATTGTATAGGATAAAAAACAGTGTTGGCAAGAATTCTGGTTGTCATAGGAAACAAGGGGAAAAATACTATGGTGTTTTCGTAGGTGTAACCATATTCTGCTACATGTAAAAAATAAATAGCGTCCCATCGTCGGAATCCACCAATCAAAAACTGCACGATGACATCGAGTTCTGTAGATTCTGTGTTTGGATTGGGTGGGGGATTGAATACATCTGCTTCATGGTCTGGTATCAGCAAATTAAACAAAACCTAAAAAAAAGAGCACAAGATAGCTAGATCAGTAAAAGGTTGTATAAGAGATACTCTCTTGTAGAAGCACTGGCCTAGGTCACAAGTAGGGACTGGAGAGCAGTTTGTGACACTGTATCTCTTGGAAGGGGTTAACAACTCTTGAACTGTGTACATGTCAATACTTCCCTCTAAAGCTGGGATGGAACACTGTCTTTTTGTGACAGTGGAATAGCCAATAGTCTTAGGTGCCGTGGGTTAGAATCCTCTTCAACGAAATAAAAATTCCGATCAAGTGCTTATATGTGAGTCGGCTTTCACCCCCTAATACCAAGCAGGCATTACCCGAATTGCATCACACCTCAGCCCAACTTTGGTACTTTGTATTCTATATTTTCATATAACTTTGCACCGATCATCCATTATTACTTTCAAAATCCCTGCTACAGACATCAATTCTGTTATATCATGAGTAAACCATCAGATCAACAAATTTACGAGTTGCCCCAGGGGAACCATTAAGGCGAGGGAACAAAAATGACTTGACCAGAATACAGTAGTTGTACAAACCTGAATCATAAACAAGAGAAATCTACTGATTAAGGCATATTTGGTTACAGTCGCTAGTCTTGGAACCTGCAACATGTTGGTTGGAGCACAAATCTCCAAATCAACTTTTACTTTCCACCAAATACAATGCGACTGGATAATATTTCTAGAAGAGTACTGGAAGTATTAAATTTTGTAAAGTGAATGTTGATTGGCTGAATTATTGACTTTTAAGCTATTTTTGTTCTGATTGGCTACTCGTGATGCTGGTCAAAATGGCCGTCAAGAAAGAAGGAAAATAGAGAAATTTGTTATTTGAATTGAAAATCTACAATTATCAGCGTTTTTATCAGAACGGAATTGTATGCATTGTTAGAATTTAAGTATTAATTCCAAATTTTGCCAAAAAAATATTCAATATTTGGCCCAAAAAATAAAAAAAAAACGAGTTTTCTACCTTTCCAGTTATTTGTTTATGTTTTGTAGGCAAGATTATCAAGTGCTTTTGATTATTCCTCTCAAAGTAACCCCTTCTTCTCCCAGGAACTCCAAGCATAAATTCCCATTTGGAAAGCCCCCCCCCCCCCCCCCTCCATTAGACCAAACATCAGAGTTACAATGCTACAAATAGGTCTTCAATGTTTGATATTTGAATCAGAACATCTCAGAATACTTTTATCCTGGAGTGAGGTGTCAAAGTTGACTTTTTGATCTACAATAGGCCTTTGTTCCAATTTTCTTTTGCTTTTCATTTTTGTTAGCATTAAACTTACATTCACTTTCTTGCATGCTTATTTCAGTAACTCACCCCATTAGAATAGACCAAACATCAGCTACACTATGAAGGGTAAAGGAAAGAGTTCTCATAATAGTGAGAAAGAAAGTCAGCTGGCCTTTCCTGACCTCCAACCTGTTGACCATCTTAAAGATTGCTTAAAATACAGCAACAGTAAGTGATTGGATGTTTGGCATGAATTTCTCTAAGATATTTTATGGGCCTTTTAAAAATATGCATTAAGATCTATATAGAATTTTTCTACCTCTAAGATATTTTAAGCACACACAATGTCATTACTTTCTGAACACAATATTTTGACAAATATCTGCACGTCAAAATCCTTTTGATCTCTTATGCAATTAAACTAAATTATTAGAGACTAGTCTAAAGATGAGCATGTATTATGCAAATTGACATCTTTGAAAAAGAAGAAGGGTTAATTATGGATCTATTTTGTTACTGTTAACGCTGCAGATTTTGAATATTTGGACTGATTTGACTGATGAAGTTGAAGAGGGAAATATCTTGTTGACTCAAAACAATAAATAAATGTTCCGAGATACCCAGTCAGTGTCATTTCATTTCAATCTATTTATAGTTCTATCAAGAGGAGATGATGAAAGTGTAAATCTTGAGGAATTAGACACTGTTCAGACAGATCTGGAAACTTTGCTAGCCTCAGCTGGTAAACGCTTGAAATTACTGGAGAGCGAGATTCAGAGCCTGTCTAATATACAAGATAAGAAAGATGTTATAGCGCCACCTATTGGAGGAAAGAAAGAAAAGGGGACCCCAGGAAAGGTAGACTTATTAGTTTAGATTCAACCAAATTTAATATCTCCTCGGGGACCACACTATGTTTAGTTAAAGGGACTGGTGGTCCATTTTTTTTATCAATCTTGCTTAAGTCTAAGAAACGGGGAAGTTTGAAGCTAAGCCTATCAGTGATAATGTTCACTGCTCACCATTAAAATTTGAGCTTCAAATCAAAGTGTGTCCAGAATTATTTGTATTTGAATGTTAAAATGACGAGTCGTTAATTTGAGATATTCTGTGATATATAGAAAAAAACATATACAGAAATAGTAAGTAAAAAAAACCAAAAATACTTCTTCAGGTATTTATAATGTATCATTTGATTGTTCAGTTTTGAATTTAGTTATATTATTCAATCAGATTTTGCATTATGAAGCCCAGACTCATTCTGTTCGTAGATGCTCAGGCATAGAACATTTTAAGCGTGAAAAAAATTATATTTTTAGTTAAAACTATACCATTTAACAGTATTTTATATTGCGTATAATCAAAAGTCTAGCACGGACTGATAGAAAACTTAGAGATCACTGATGCTGTACGGATTTAAAAAACAAAAATGATCTCAAGGTATCCCAGAAAAGGTATTCCCTGACAGTCATTGGCTGGATTATTATATATTATGTAAATTATGTTCATGTATTTTCGAAGGGAAAAAAAATCAAAATTTGTTCCACTGTGTATAGTGCGCACCCCTTCTGTAAGGGGCCCTTTTTGGGGTAAAAATACTGGGCATTATATTCTGAAATATAAGGTATGTAGATTGTATGGTGTAAGCCTGCAAGTAGCAGACATAAGAAGTCTAGATTTAAGCATGTTGATTTTGAGTTTTACACAAATTATTATCATCTATAGGATCAATCGGGTAAAAGAGGGAAGCCTGGTTCAGAAGAGAAACCTAGTAAGAAATTTAAAGATGCCAATGGAAAAGCTTCCAGTGTAATACCTACTCCTCCATTGAAACTCAAACAAAAATCACAGGTATTGAGCTGTTTTATCCTCCCCAAACTGAATTCTGCAAATTTTTACCCCTGAAAAATATTTGGTGGACAGTGACCTAGACCTCAGATTTCTTAGAAATCTTTCTCTATACACCTAAGCTGCTGAAGGCAGTTCAAAAATAATTCAAAAAGGCTTTTTGATTTCAGTCTAAAATATTGGAGTATGAATTTAATGAAGCACCGAGAGAAACACTGCCTAAATTACCTAAAAATGACGCTGTCAATAGATTCTGGACGTCAGTTGAACCATATTGTGCTGATATTACTAACGATGATTTAAAAGTTTTAGAAGATATTTTAAAATCTCACGAAGAGGATGGTGATTATTTTAAAGTGACTCCATTAGGGAAACATTATACAGAGAAATGGGCAGAGGAAGATCTTCTAGAAGAACAAAATGATGGTAAGTGTTTGATAATCTCGGCACAAATGTGGTTTTTACACGGAAATAAGTTCAACAGATTGTAAAGAGGTTTTCTAAAATTTTGCACATCCCAATTTTTAATCAGACGTCTGTGGTTCTTGCAATTCCACTAAAACTAAGTGTTTGATCACGTCACTAATCTCAAAAGCCTCATCTTATACAAGCATATTTTGCGACTAGTGACGTCATCAAACACTTAGTCTTAGTGGAATTGCAGTAACCACAGACGTCTGATTGAAAATTTGAATGGCGCAAATTGATGCTTTCAGTGTCCCTGATACACATAAAAATTTTAGAAAACCTCTTTACAATCCCTTTCCCAGCCATATTGAGTCTCTACCTATTACATTTGAAGGCTAAGAAATGGCTTTGAATTTGATTTGAAGACTTTGTTGAAATATTGTAGCCTTTATAAAAATTGGACTCATTAGGTTGAGGAGGAGATTCAAAATGGTTGTGAACTATGATCGTGTGCGTTATTTCCATATAAGAACCAAGCATAGTTTTGTATGACTCTGGGTATTCGGCCAAACCTCTTGGCATCAATCTCTCTTAAATTAATCTAATCAATTTACAGCTGGGTTGACTGGAATTATGAGTGAAGATGACATATTTAAGGTCATCACACTTGTACACACTGCCGAGTTTAGAACCCACAACCACCATTTGTTCGACTTAACCATGTATATGATATCATGTAATATTTCCACTATTATAACCAACTGTGCTAAAGAATTGATGGTCATAAAAGGAAGATCAAGTATGAATATTTGGAAGCAGTCATTTTGGATGTCTATAAAGATACTATTTATTCTATTCCAGGAGTTAAAATTGATAAGAAGAGAAATTCTGGTAGTCATAACAACAATAATAATAATCATCATAATCATCATCATCACGAGTCTACCACCTTACTTAAAAAACTTGAACCCAAGTAAGTAACATTGTCAAAAGTCAAATATCTCTTTTCCACACCATTGTAAAGAGGTTTTCTCTTTTTATTATGTGTCTCAGCGCCATTTATTTTTTATATTTGCATCATTCAAATTTGTTGTTATTGACATCGTAGATTAGTTGTTATTGAAATTTTTTAAAATACAAACTTATTTTAGATTCGTGACTATTTTCACTACCTAACTCTATAGTTTATGTTTTGAACTCTAGCCAAATGTCCACTAATATCTATTTATACAAATATGCAAATATAATTAATATAGCTTTATTTCAGCTATCTAAAACGCTTTCTAGAATTCAAATCACGCATACAATTCCTCTACAATTAAATATGTCTTAACTAGATTACACAGTGCAGTGTGTAATGAAGGAAATTAGTGTGAATAGTAATTTTTTATATTTTTTCAGTGGGTTTAGTAATATGGAAGAGTCACCATTTGGACAGTTGACTCAGAGACTAGTGTCAGCTTTAATAGAGGAGAATATCATGACTCCAATAGATGACTCAATGAATGAAATTACTGGTGGAAAAGGTAAAATAACTTCATGATTATAACAGGCCATGATACAATGTTTATCAGAATAAAGGGCTACGATACATTATGTATTGAGATACAAGCAATACATTATGTTTTGAGATACAAGGCTACATTGCATTATGTATTGAGATACAAGCAATACATTATGTTTTTAGATACAAGGCTACATTGCATTATGTATTGAGATACAAGCAATACATTATCTTTTGAGATACAAGGCTACATTGCATTATGTATTGAGATACAAGCAATACATTATCTTTTGAGATACAAGGCTACATTGCATTATGTATTGAGATACAAGCAATACATTATCTTTTGAGATACAAGGCTACATTGCATTATGTATTGAGATACAAGCAATACATTATCTTTTGAGATAAAAGGCTACATTGCATTATGTATTGAGATCCAAGCAATACATTATCTTTTGAGATACAAGGCTACATTGCATTATGTTTTGAGATACAAGCAATACATTATGTTTTGAGATACAAGGCTACATTGCATTATGTATTGAGATACAAGCAATACATTATGTATTGAGATACAAGCAATACATTATGTTTTGAGATACAAGGCTACATTGCATTATGTATTGAGATACAAGCAATAAATTATGTATTGAGATACAAACAATACATTATGTTTTGAGATACAAGGCTACATTGCATTATGTTTTGAGATATAAGGGTCACAATACATTATGTATTGAAATACAAGGGCTATGATACATTATGTATTAAAATACAAGAGCTATGATACAGTATGTATTGAAATACAAGGGCTATGATACATTATGTATTGAGATACGAAGGCTACGATACATTATGTATTGAGATACAAGGGCTATGATACATTATGTATTGAAATACAAGAGCTATGATACAGTATGTATTGAAATACAAGAGCTATGATACATTATGTTTTGAAATACAAGAGCTATTATGCAGTATGTATTGAAATACAAGGGTTATGATACATTATGTATTGAGATACAAAGGCTACGATACATTATGTATTGAGATACAAGGGCTACAATACATTATGTATACAAGGACTACAATACATTATGTATACAAGGACTACAATACATTATGTATACAAGGACTACAATACATTATGTATACAAGGACTACAATACATTATGTATACAAGGACTACAATACATTATGTATTGAGATACAAGGGCTACAATACATTATGTATTGAGATACAAGGGCTAAAATACATTATGTATACAAGGACTACAATGCAATAAATTTCATATCAAAATACAGCGAAAAATATGCATTTTAAGGTATTTATTTTTTGATAAATCAGCTTTTTAGTTCTAATTATTATTGTATTTGATATTTGTAGAAAGTGCTGATGAAGCTCCAGCTATCTCACCCAGAACTTTAGCTAAACAATTAAACATTGGTAACCCAACACATCTTGAGAGACGAATAAAACGGGAACTGGAGGAACAAGGTAGGTAACTCTTATTAATATAATTAACTGTGATATAAATAGAGAATCTTATTACATATGAAATATCTGATATCTGAGATTGTGCTCGAATTTCTAACCTAGTAATGATATTTTTGCACGAAAAAACTTGCTTTTGGAGCTGCGAGGGGAGGTGGCTGCCCCCTCTGCCCCCCCTTTGGCTCCGCCACTGGGAAAGGAATGACTTCCATCTTACAGGTAACAGCACATTGGATCCACAAGCTCAAAATCATGGCTCCCTTAGGTATCAACGGACTCATTTAGCTTTCCTACCCTCACTGGCCAACTTTATTTTATTTGACTAAATGTATTTGCAGGTATACTAGATTTTGAAGATAAAGAGGATGATAACCCTGATGATGAGATATTGGCTGAAATACGTAAAAAACAGTCTGAGTTACGACTTCTGTGTCAGAGGAATATGATTATCACCAATCAACTTCATGTCAAGGCTAAAGAACAAATGGCTAAACAGGCAATGAAGAAAAAACTATCTGCTGCAGACACTGAGGTTTGTTTTTTGGGGGGTTGATTTTAGTCTTGAATATATGTAAATAATCTTCAGAAGTACTAGAAATGTTATTAAATTTGCTTAAAAAATACTTCGGACTAGGAAATTTACTATTTTCTACAAGCTTCTATGTCCTTTCTATATATCACAGAGTATCTTAAATTGATGAGTCGTCATTTTAACATTCAAACATGGATAATTCTGGACACACATGGATTTGAAGGCTTAAATTTTGACGGTGAGCTGTGAACACTATTATTGATTGGCTGAGCTAGAAAATTACCGCTTCTCAGATTATAGTATGATTGGTCACATAAAATGGCCTATCTGTCCCTTTAAATTACATTACAATTTCAGTTATTTTGATGATATTTTATGATCATCTCCCTTGTAATCTAACAAGTTTGCTTGCACAGTCCTGTTCTTATGACAAATTAAACAATGATGACTTGTGAGATAGCAAAACCCAAAGTGACTGTCATATTGCACTACTCTAAAATAATTATGCTTAAAATAACATTCTAAGAACGGAACTACAGTTGAAAACTTGTTAGATTACAATGAAGTTGTAAAATATCAGCAACATGAAAGTAAAGGAAATTGAAATGCGATTTTAAATAAATGGTTTTAAGATTATTTTACATGATAATGAAAAAATAAGAGCAAACCATTGTAGAGCTCCAATGAACATATTGACAGCCTTGCTTCCAGATTTTCCTTCATTTTTTTGTTATAAAATTCCTCATTTCTATTCAGGTTATGGAAGCCTATAGAAAAATTCAGGCAGCAAAACAGAAGAAGAAAACACCCACAAAGAAAGAGAAAGACGCAGCCTGGAAGGCTTTGAAAGAAAGAGACGCCATTATGCAAAACTTGGATGTTTGAAATCCTGGTATTTTCAAGAACGGTTTTGCACAATTTCTGAGAAGAAAGGTCAACTTGAAGCTCACTGTAGCATAAGACAATATAAACTGTTGTGGAAATGGTTGAAGATGTTGGAACTTATTGTATGAAGTGGTTCCTATATAGTTTTATTGAGAGATCAGAGTAGAATTGTCATATTGGTGGTGTCTTAGGTCTTAGGGACCATCTTCTATGTTAAACGGGCATTCATTTTTTTTTCATTTGTGTTTTTTTGGTTTTGAGTGTGAAATCCATCACACTGTATGCCAACATATAGAGAATGATGCCCCTTTCTTTTCGTGAAAGTTTTAACTTAAAGTATTCAAACGTTAGGCCACAAACAGCAACAAAACAGTTAAGTAAGTATTTTGAATTCTGATTGGACCGCTAATTGTTAAAAACCAATCGGCAGCAATTTCACAAGCGTACCTCCGAAAGTGAAGAGTTGCAGGTCTGTAGTTCGAAATATTCTGTCAACCAAAAAATCACATCATGTGTTTTTTTAACTCAGCATGTCTAAAATATTGATGATTAAGATTGGTTTCTCTGTCAGCAGGTCAACGTATAGAAACCATACAAAGGACATGTGACCCTGCACATCATATCAGGTATTAAGTTGCACTGCCCAGTAATAAGCTGACAGTGAAGTATTAAAAGGGGACTCAAATCTGGATATTAAATTGACTATATCATCTGAACGGAGAAAGCTACATGCACCAAATGCTTCTTAATACCTGGTTTGATGTGCAGGTTCACCTATGTATATAATATCATGCTTAATAAGCCCAGTTTACATGTTGGAATTAAAACAGAATGCCTCTTTAAGCTTGACTGGTACCTTTAATCTAACTAGTAGACATGCAGTATTGTGATTTTTTTCAAAGTCCTAAAACCTGCAAGCCTCACTATGATATTAAGTACAATAATATATATATTAATATTAAAAACAGATGATTAATTTACTTTAATTGTTATGTTAATTGTGTATATAGAAATGTAACTATATAACAGTTTATAGTTGTAAATGTGTACTTTCATTCACTTCACTTGCATATTGCATGTGCAAAATAAGATCTCATATGAATGGAGATTTCCAGTATATTATCCCGTCAGTTATAATGAACAAATCAGTAAACACAGTTAGGCGTGAAAATACCATTATGTTTAAATTTTTGCAATATTCACAGGTCTGAAGGCACTTTGGGGTGGATTTCTACCAATTCTATCAAAAAATTTGCTCCATCCCCATTACTGTGGACTGAAAAAAATTGGTCAGGGTCTCTGACAGTTTCATTCATAATTCCATGGGAGACCATTGGAATATATTGGCCATGTGGAGGCATTGCATTACTGGCCAGAAACACAGTTAGGCATGAAAATACGGTGCACTGTAACATGGTCACAGGAAATTTGGTCACCGGAAATATGGTCACAGTATTACGGGCACAACGTATTATGGTCACAATAATACGGGCACAAGGTATTATGGTCACAATGATACGGGCACGAGGTATTATGGTCACAATAATACGGGCACTAGGTATTTTGATCACAGTAATACGGGCACAAGGTATTTTGATCACAGTAATATGGGCATAAGGTATTTTGGTCATAATAATACGGGCACAAGGTATTTTGGGCATAAGGTATTTTGGTCACAGTAATACGGGCACAGGGTATATTGGTCACAGTAATACGGGCACAGGGTATTATGGTCACAGTAATACGGGCACAGGGTATTATGGTCTCGGTAATACGGGCACATGGTATATTGGTCACAGTAATACGGGCACAGGGTATATTGGTCACAGTAATACGGGCACAGGGTATTATGGTCACAGTAATACAGCCACAGGCTATATTGGTCACAGTAATACGGGCACAGGGTATATTGGTCACAGTAGTAGTAATAGAACATATAGATAGGGGGCACTTGGGTTAGGGTTATAAAAAAATGTCAAAAAGCGATTTTTTTTTTTATGAATTATACCAAAGTGCCCCCTATCTATATGTTCTATTACTACTCTTTTGCCCACAGCGCCTGCAAGCCCACCAAACAAACAACCCCACCAGGCACACAGTTAATAAATCCGGAGCTTACCAGTTTACCAACCCCCAAGCGCCTCAGCCCAATAATATCTTTAAATTAACTCATTTAAAACAGAATGAGTTTAATTTTAAAACACGAACAACACAAATTCGAAGCAGACGGATTCTTCTCAGCTCTAACATCTCTCATCCCAAAAGTGACCAACTTTGTCTCAAACAACAAATCCCTCATTTCCTCAGAAGCGCAAGCTCTTGGATCTGTAGCAAAAGCAGGAATAAATATAAGCGAAACAGTGAAAAGATCTAACGAGTTGAAAGAATTACAACATATAAGAGAAATGCGAAATAAAAGATTAGAAAACAAAAAAGGCAATGGTTTTAAAATTATTGGATAAAAATGTCAATGATAATTGCTCAAACTCCTAAAACTTATTTCGGTTCTGACATTCAAAAATCATTAGGTTCTCTTCCCGGATTTCCATGGGCAAAATACCCCAGAGAAAAACATCTTCCCGGTCATAATTACACTGGTCCAGGTACAAGGTTAGATCTGCGATTAGACGAAAACGATAAACCAAAACCCGGTGAAGAACAAGTCAATAGAGTTGACGCCGCTGCACTTAAACACGATATACTATACAGAAATAAAGACATAACATTCAGACACGAAGCAGACAAACAAATGATAATCGAACTTGAAAATATTCCAAATCCAACTTTTAAAGAGAGAATTCAAAGGGCATTAATCATTAAACTCTTGAAAGCAAAGATGAAAATGGGTATGGGATTAGCAGATGAAATACACAAAGAATTTAGAAACTTAACTGATTAATGGGAGGTAACACTGTTGTTTGTTTACTTCAAAGTAAAATACCAACCAGTTTATACACGGTTAGTTTTATTGATTTATCATTGATTCAATAATTATCTTCAACGCCTGGTAACAATCAGTCGTCTTGACTATTATTGTCACTAAGTAACAGATGGTTATATTGACATATAACATTCCGCCCATGCCACGTCAGCACAGACAGTCTAGACTCTCAACTGTTAGTAGTGTCTCAATTTTTGTTACGCTGGAAGATTAGGAATTTAATCATACAAAATCAAGGGATGTTCTTTGTCTGATTTAATCATAAGACGAGAGAGTGGAATTAAGATGACATGTTATTTGTTGTTTTTCAAAATATCAATTTTGTTCTATTCCAGACACAGGTTTAATAGATGTCAACATTTCATATCACGAAGAATATTTAAACCATCGCAGGCAGTGGGGGATACTACCAAACTCTGTGACAAATATCCGATGATTCAAAATTGTCGATACAGATTTCGAAAATGGAAGTGCCGAAGAACAAGCGTTTTGGAAAAGGATAAAATATGTGACGTATATCTACCGATTCTACTAGGAGCGGTCGTGACACTTGACCCTTGAACTATGACTGATGATAGTGTAAGAGGGGAGAAAAATCTGAAGAATATCTAGTAGAAGTGTATATCAACGTAATTGTTTATGTTTTAAATTTCCTTGTATTTATTAAAACTTACTTTGGTTTTTTGTTATTCTTCCTGCATTTCCATGGGGGTAAATGGTTTCAAATAATAGGGTAAAACCTATCTTTAAAAATGGCAGAAAAAAATTACAGATTAGATCCGATCTTTCAATTATATGATCCAATTCGTTATTCGTTTAATAAGAAAAAAGAGGATTACATTATCATATCACCAACCGTTGGCTCTAGGTCTCAACTAAATGATGGAGGTAGGGTCACTTTCGAGATTAATTCATTATCGAATTGGCTGCTTCTTTCCTGATGATGCAAATGAAGATAGAATGAGTGCTATTGCTCGAAACACAATAAAAAAAGTTCTGTACAATAATGTTGTTGAGAATAATAGGTGGGGTAATTACGTAAATTGGAAATTATACCCTTTATTCGGTCGGTTGGAACACAGAAAGGTTTCCATAGGGTTACCAAATAAAATTCATCTACAAAGAGAAATCAATGATGATAAGATATTCTTTGGAGAGAATGCTTCAGATGCAAAATTAGAAATAATGAATCTCCAACTTTACATACCCGTAATAACACCATCAATTGAAGTAGAAACGAGAATATTCAACTCATTAACTAAAGATATTGAAATAGCTTTTCTTCATCGTAATACAGTGGGTAGCATGACTTTAACTGGAGAATCCACCACATGGCCAATCACTAACACTATTAAACCAGTAAGATATTTAATGGTTGGTTTCAAGAACTTACCAGATTTTCAAACGAATAACAATAATATCTTTAGAGTAGCAATGAACCAAATTCAAGATCCTTTAATCCGTAAAGTTCAAGTAAGATTAAACAACGATAATTTTCCTAACCAACCTTTAACAATTAATCCATCCACGAGGGATTATAATGAATTGTATAGAAACTATAAAATATGTGTGAATTATTTGGAAATTCACCTCAGTTTGAATATGTAGATTTTGCACTTAATCACCCAATCTTCTGTTTTGATCTATCAGCTCATTAAGAAGATCTTTTCAAAACAGGGGTGAATATAAATATTCATATTGAAAAAACACAAGGAGATGTAACCGGTTATTGTTTATTATTGGAAGAAGCAAAACATTTAATTAAAATATCCGACAGACGGATGATTCGTATAGAATAATCATTTAAATTACCCTCTTAAAAATGAAACCAGAAACTTTAGTAAAAAGAATAATAGAAGCTATCGAAACGGAATCACCAACTACAATAACATACAATGGTAAAAGGATTAAAATATCTAAAAAAATTATTGATAAATATAAACATTGTGAAGTTAGAGATGATATCGATTTGAAAAGAATTGACAAGAGTGTAAAGGAAGGTGGATTTTTACCTTTCCTACCTTTGATATTTGCTGGCCTGGCCGCGGCTGGTGCAGCAACTGGTGGGATATCTGCCGCAGTCAAAGCAGCCAACGCCAAAAAAGCAGCTGATGCTGAAAAAAGTGAAAAACGTAGACATAATATGGAAATGGAAAAGATAGCACAAGGTTCGGGAGTAGTATATATTAGGGACAGTTAAAGACTTTGGAAATCGATTTAGTGAAGAAACCAAGAAAACTGTTAAAGAGGGATTAAGTAATCTAATAGATAAAATCGACACAGGAGAAATGATAAGGTCAAACATAAGGGTAATGCCATAGTTTTTAAAAACAAACGTTCTGGAGAGGGAATCTTTCTTTCAAAATATAAGGAGAAGGAGTGATTTTTGGAAATATAGAATAAAAAATGGGAAAGAAATTTAATCATTCAGAAATATTTCCTAGTAACCCAATGCTTATGTGTATTTGTGGAAGCTCGGGTTCTGGGAAAACTTATTTAACCTTTAACATGTTGACAACACCAAAACTTTTAGATTTTGATTCATTATATATCTACACAACTACACCAGAACAATCGTATTATCAATTCCTCAAAGCTTTAGAATATATACCAAAGAAAGACGTTCAGAACATATTTAAATATTATGAAGACAACGATGAGATAAAAATAAAAGAAATCTTAGATATATATATAAAAGAAAAGAATCCATCTTTCAATCCAACGAATATAAAAGTTTTTCTTACGAAAAATGTTAATGATTTAGATTTGTCTAAAATTGATAGTGAGCGAAAGAACTTAATAGTGTTTGACGACTGTGTAGCACAAAGAAATCAAGCTGTTCAACAAGAATTCTTCACGAAGGGAAGACATCACAACTCTCACTGCATATACCAATCCCAATCTTTCTGCGGTATGGATGCAATGTTCATTCGAAAAAATGCAAATTGTTTTTTATTATTCGAATCGAACGACAAAGAGTTATCTCAAATTATTCAGTCAATTAATCACGGAATGGATAGAGATACATTCAAAAAGGATTGTAAAGCACAATGGAGAAACCCAGATGATCATGGATATATATTCGTTAATACTAGAAAACCTGCAGGTGAAAGACATATGTTAATTTTATTTCTTTAAAAATGGGTGAATGGAATAATATCATAAAAAGAAATAGACAATATATCAAAGCTAAGAATAAAATAAAGACCCAAGTTGAAAATAACAGATTACAACAACTTGGATTAGCAGAAAATCTACAAACTCTATTTCAACCAATATTAAAAAGTCAAGAAGATATTAAAAAGAGACTCGAGTCTCCTATAGAACCCACACTTCATATAGAACCTCATCACCCCGAACCGATTGAATATGATGGTATTATAATTAGGACCTTAGATGATATAAAACGTTATTTTTCAAATCCAAAGCCAGATTTACCAAAAGAGCATTACACCAATTGTTGATAATGAAGGGTTATTGTTTAATGGATTTAGAATAAGATTTAGTGCAAATTCACCAATATTCAAAATCGATACAAAACAATTTATATTTATATTAACAGAAGGATTAATAGATTTAATGAATGGGGGGATGTTGATATTGCCGATTACAAGGATTTAGTAGAATACTCAGAATTTCTACATACGATAAGAATGACGGGGCCCGAAACAAGAAGATTAAAAGAAGTTGATCTATATATAAAAGCTATTAATCAAGATGATGAATATGCTGAAGACAATCCAATCATACATGAAATAGACGAATTCGAAGATATCGTATCTGACCATGAAATAGACGAATTGGAAGGGGAGATAGCCAGAGAAAACAGTGGACAAGGTATAACGTTTTTATCCGACAACAACGAGGAACTACTTAATAGATTAGAAATAATATTAGCAGCAATGAAAGAAGGTCATCGTTCAGACAGACAATATAATGAAGTAAATTGTATATTAAAAATATTCCTAGAGAAAAGGTATTATAGATAAAAATGATTATAAAACCGTAATTGATAAAATTATCCAATAAAAATAGTCATTGAAAAAATGCCAAATAAAGAACAATTATTCGTTATCACTTCAAATAAATCAGACATTAAATTGTCTCTAGATTATGAGTACGAACTCGATCGCAATCAAGAATATGAATTGGGATTAAAGTATTTCTCTGTTTACAATTCCATTAGAAATATCAACGAAAATAATAACCAAATGAAAATATCAACAGATAACGAAGCTACATTCAAAACCATAAGTTTACTACCAGGAAGCTATGAATACGTTGCAATAAACGAATATCTATCTGAATATGCGGAAAGTGCTAATGGTAAAAACAATATTGAATTCGAAGGTAATTTGAATCTGAACAAAATAAAATTGATATTGAGAAATAAGAGTCAAGTTGATTTCAACGTAGAAAATTCTTTGAATACTTTATTAGGATTTGATAAGCAAATATACACACAATCCACTTTAGCGCCGCATAAAGCTAATATCGAGAATGATATCGACGTCATTAATATTCGCTGTAATTTAATAAACGGTGGATTTTTCAATAAACACAAACGTCAGATTATTTACAGTATTCCAACATTCACTGTACCGATTGGATATAGAATTATAGAGAAACCATTTCAAACAACATATTTACCACTTAATTCGTTCATGATTAAAAATATAAATCTGGAAATCAAAGATGGTAAAAATAGGTTTATTGATTTTGGTAACGAAGAAATTGTAATTCAACTTCATTTAAAACAAAAGAACTAAATCTATTGAGTAATTAATCACTCTTCATTCTCGTCTTGATTATATAGGTAAATATGATTCCACCATCACCATAATCATTCTTGCCTTTACAATATTCATTTTCAGATACCAACCCAGCTCGATTTAATTTATCCCAATTTCTAGATGAAATGTATAAACTATCAGTGCAGGTTTATAAAATCCATTTATTACATGAATGAAATTATTCATTATTTTTTTTACTGTGAGATAAAACGAACGATCCCAAATGACTAGGTGTTGAATAGATTAATTATGTTATCTCTTTTTGAATTATCACTTTGTGTTTCACTTTGTGAAATACTTTCAGTTTCACTTCGTGTTTCACTTTGTGAAATAAATTCCTTAAATACATTACAAATTTCATCCATTTGGTTCGTTTCAAATATTTTTCTATTTGCCGAAACTCTTCCTCCTTTAATAGATCGTCTGATATAATGTCTTATAAAAGGATTAGTGTGAGTATGTTTCGGAACCATTCGAGTAGTTTCATACCATTCTTCTTCAACCATTTCTTTATCGTAATGATACAAATAATACCAACCCTTAAAAGATAACGATGGAGCCGTTAGATTATTGGACATATTTTGGTTTACAACTTCTTTCGTGACTTGGTTATATTTTATCAAACAACTTCCAAGACATAACGTATCTCTTTTAGCGTAAGGTTCCCATTCGTGTCTTAAAGATTCCCAGTTATCTTTGGTGTATTTTGAAATACCGATATCAGTGATCTTTCTCAAATTCATTGGTAGATTAGATGAATTTCCCCATGCCGCCAAACTAGATGTTTCATGTTGATAGGAACATGTGAAATTAATATGTTTTAAATAATTATTATTACTTGTTATTTCTTTCTGTCTTTTCCATTTTTTCTGTAAATCTTCATCTGTGTATGGATTAGATAAAGGTAAAGATAGAATTCATCTGGGTGTTTTTAAAGGGCATTGTGTTAGTTTTTTTTTATATTTTTAAGCACGATCCAGTTATCAAAATTGCTACCGTTATGAGAAATTAATATTAATCTCTTCCTATCATATTCACCTAAATATTTCAACATTTGATCTATACAATCTGTACCTACAAATATTTCTACTATTTTCATTAGTTTATCATAAAATTCTTCTGGAACATTATCTGTAAGATTTAAATCTGGACAGAGATTATTTATTCTGTCTAACACTTTTCTTAGTTTTTCTAAATTAATTAACGTACACGCATAAGGAATTGCTTTACGCGTTTCACTTTCTGAATACGTTTCACAATCCCAAGCAAATAACCCAGCATCACTTATACTTGAAAACACGTTTAGTTTCAGAGGTGAAACCTGTGTTACTGCGTTATCGTCTCTACACGTTTTCCAAACTTGTTCATAATTATCTTCTATTTCTTTAATACCCAAAATTTTTTTGAGTAGTTCAGTTCCTCTTCCATCTTTTAATTTCTTTAAAATTGTCTTTAAGTAAAAAGATACTTCCTGTAAAGTACCAACCAGAAGGGTCAGATTTTTCTTCCATATTTCTAAAGATAGTATGAAAAGTTTTGGCATTAAAACCAAGAAGTTTCATAAATTGTTTGTGCTTTCCATCTATTTCAATTTGTCCTTTAAATGTTAAAAATTTATTGGAAACAACCTTGATAATATTTGAAAATAACACGTTTTCTATGAATGTTTCATTATCATTAATTTCAATTGATTCATTCATATTTTTTTATATATGCTTTTTTAATGATCTATTTTTAAGTATTTTTTTTAACTTTTATTGTTGATATTTCCATCTCAAATTTTTCTAGAATTTCATTGAATTTTTCCAATTCTTCTATTGTTATGTTCTTATCTTCTCTTGATCTTTCGAAAAATTTAAATAATTTATTAAGATATGTATTTAAAATTTCTGTTTTCTTTTTATAATAAGATTCCTGTTTTGATGTATAACCTATAGCAATCAACCCACAAGATGAAGTTTGAATAGCAGTAATTATGGCTAATACAGTGGGATAAGTATTGGAACCATTAATCCACCAGTTACAGCCGTTGCAGTTGTTGTTAGAACTACTGTTAGAACTACACTCAGTGTTTTAAAAACAGAATCAATTCTAATCCATCTTTTCTTACATTTATTATATTGTTCTAGTTTTACTTTTAACTCGTTTTGTTTGTCTATCATATATTGTTGTCTACTTTCGAGTTCCATTTTTAAGACATTAAATTAAGTGAATTTCTGATAAAGAAAAAGATGGATATTGTTCAATATTTACAATAGGGAACCCTTTAATCTCTATACCTCCTCCTATTATTTTTCGTTTATCTGTTATCATTACTTCGGGTGTAAAAATAGTAACTTTTACAGATGCTAATGATATTTCTTCTTTCGAATTATTAATCTTATTTAGATGAACTGTAAATTTTTTTTTTCAATATTAATCTCTATACTACATTTACAAGTATATATACCACCAACTTCTTTATTACTATCTCCTTCATGACGTTCAATTATTGATGAAAATATTATAAATTCTTTATCTTGTTGACTTTTGTGAATATCAATTGAGGTAAATCAGGATAATATTTTCGTACATTGAGTGAAAAACTAGTATTAACAAAATATAGTTTTACATATTCAAAGTCTAATGTTCTTAAAAACGTATAACTCTTTATTGTGTGTGGTTTTTGTGGAGTTGGATTTCTAATAATGTTTATCGATGGTGAGCTTTCCGTCTTTAATATCATATCAAAATTACCTATTGAAAGAATATCGCTGTCATTGTCTGGTATTATTGACATTCTAAAGGTGTCTATATATTTTCCATTTGTTTTAATTTCATACATATGATTAGGCTTGTTGTTTTCATCATTAACTTCCAAATCTTTATTTTCAACATATTCACCATCTTTGATAAATTCGAAAATCTTACTGGCGTTAAAATAGTTAGATGGATGAGAGAAGAAGATTGAATCGATTTTAACTTTTACAGGAAAAAGAATTTCAATTAGAGATTTACATCGGAAATTAAAGTTTCCTGAATCATCAAATATGTTTTTAACGTTTCCACTTATATATGAAAATACTTTTATTTTTAATATAAATCCATATCCTTCCAACTGAAATGTTGTTTCACTTGTAGGAATACGTTCAGTATTTCTCACACTGAAAACTGGAAGATTGAAATAATATAATTTTTTATTTTCCTTGAGATGTTTTTCTAATGTGGCTATATTTTTTTCCTGTTTTAAAACTTCGTTATTAATAGTAGTTATCTGTTGTTGAATCTCGCTATCATAAATATTTTGTATCAGTTGATTAATATTTGTTAGTTCTTTTTTTAATTCAGTTTTAAATTTAGTTTCTAGAGCAGTTGATTCCTTTTGCCATGTGTCTTCACTTATACCTGGTTTAATATTATTTATTAGTTGTTTAAGATCTATTTTTTGTTTTCCTATCTTATAATCTAATTTAGATATTAATGATTTTAAATTTTCTAATTGAGTTTTATCTACTAGATTGAGTAATTGTTTTTGAATAGCATCTATTTCACTATTATCATTGAGTTTGGTTTCTAATTCAGTTAAGTTTTCTTCACTTATACCTGGTTTAATATTATCTATTAATTGTTTAAGATCTATTTTTTGCTTTGTTACCTTATCATCTAAATTAGATATTAATGATCTTAAATTTTGAAATTGAGTTTTATCTACTACATTAACTAATTGTTGTTGAATGGCGACTATTTCACTATTATCATTGAGTTTGGTTTCTAATTCAGTTAATTTTTCTTCACTTATACCTGGTTTAATATTATCTATTAATTGTTTAAGATCTATTTTTTGCTTTGTTACCTTATCATCTAAATTAGATATTAATGATCTTAAATTTTGAAATTGAGTTTTATCTACTACATTAACTAATTGTTGTTGAATGGCGACTATTTCACTATTATCATTGAGTTTGGTTTCTAATTCAGTTAATTTTTCTTCACTTATACCTGGATTAATATTGGCTATCATTTGTTTAAGATCTATTTTTTGTTTTGTTATCTTATCATCTAAATTAGATAATAATGAACTAAAACTTTCTAACTGAGTTTTATCTACTAGATTGTCTAATTGTTGTTGAATGGCGACTTTTTCACTATTATCATTGAGTTTGGTTTCTAATGCGGCTAATTCATCTTCACTTATACCTGGTTTAATATTATCTATTAGCTGTTTAAGATCTATTTTTTGTTTTGTTATCTTATCATCTAATTTAGATATTTATGATTTCAAATTTTGTAACTGAGTTTTATCTACTAAATTGAGTAATTGTTTTTGAATAGCATCTATTTCACTATTATCATTGAGTTTGGTTTCTAATTCAGTTAAGTTTTCTTCACTTATACCTGGTTTAACATTATCTATTAGTTGTTTAAGGTCTATTTTTTTTTGTTATCTTATCATCTAATTTAGATATTAATAATGTTAAATTTTCTAATTGAGTTTTATCCACTACATTAAGTAATTGTTCTTCAATAAAACTTTTCAAACTTGTTACTTCTTGTTGTAAATTAGTATCATCAATAAAATCTTTATTATTTATTTGTCGTTTGAAGTATCTTTTCACATCGCCTATTCTTTCTTTTAAATGTTCTTTATTTACTTCAATTAAATTTGATCGATCCATTAAATATTTCTTGTGAACAGCGTCATAATCATTTTCTGGTAATTTTAAAATAGTTATGGTAAAATTATTCATATCTAAATCACCTTGAAGTTTGTCTCTAATTTGATCCACAAAGTAAGGTTTTGCTTTATTTATTATTTATGTTGTTGTGTTAGGTTTTTTAGTATCTAAAGGTAAAGAACCTAATCCAAATTTATTCGCCATTTTTATTAAGTTAAATTTATTATAATTTCTTCAAATTGTTTTCCTAAACTCAACTGATATAAAACCCAAAGTGAAAGTTGACCACAAAATTTTTGACCCGGTAATTGAAATTGAAATGTTGAACATTTGATTGGTTTATTAGTTAATTTCACTATCTCTTCAGTGGGTTCTAATCCAAAAGAATCGAAGAAATAAAAGTTATTTAAAGAGTCTTTGTATAAAGCAGAGTGATGAACTCCTTTTTGATCTGAAGTATGTATATTTGTTATCGCATAAAATTTACCTTTCTTATATTTGAGATTATTTATTTCATCTCTCATACAATGATAAAACGGTGATATATTTAACTCATTTGCCCATTTCATAAGTTGCAAGTTTGTAGTTGTATCGGTTCCGTATTTATCGAGAAAGATATTCATTTTTAAAAGTCAGTTTTTTGAAGTTCGTTTTGATAAAACCTACCTATGATTTGTTCTTTGTCTTGATCGATTAATTCATATGTTGGAGGTGATGTGGTGTTTACTTTATCTACGATAAATATTCGTTTGTCCAAAATCCAACGTAACCTTTTTCGAATTTGCTTTTATATTTGAAAATACGAACGCGATATTTTGTGTGTGAATTGACTTATATAATATTTGGATTATTTGAGGCTTGTGTTGGTGTAATACCTATGGATGAATGAAATTTGTTATTGTATTCATCTACAACCTCTGGTAATATTTTAAGCCATTTTTGGGATTTCAATTCCGTGAACTTTTTGAATAATTTAATTTTTAGAGTCATGTTAAATCTTTCTATTACTACAGCTTTACCTTCATTATGCGTGCTGTAAATTTCAAATCCTAGAGATTTCATATTTTTGTTATAAATTCACTTCCTTTATCTACCCACAGTTTTTCTGGATGTCGGTTAGATTGTTTCATAATCGTTTCAAATTTCTCTCAGATAATGATTGTAAAATTTCACCCTGTTTCATACCAGTTAAAAAGTATTTTTTTTATTAAATGCAGCCTGTATTCAGCCATTGTGATTACACAACAGTAGTATATGTGTTTTCTGATATAGCGCATCCAGTTTGATCCGGTTTTTGAGATGGAAGGTATATGTCTTTTCGGATATGATGCGTTTCACTTCTGTGCATGCGCAGCTTTTTCAATGCGTCATATCCGAAAAGACACAACTGTTAAAATGTATTATAACAGACTTCCCCAAACTGTTAAAAATGTATTATAACAGACTTCCCAAACTGTTAAAAAAATATATCATAACAGATTCCTCCCAAACTGTATTATAAATTACCCAAACCACAGACAAGAATCACTAATAATAATACAGTATAAAATAACCGCATTAAAAAAAATGAAAATGTCTTTAATTTTAAAACATGAACAAAAAAAATTCGAAGGAGACGGTTTCTTCTCTGCGCTAACATCTCTCATCCCCAAAGTGGCCAACTTTGTCTCAAACAACAAATCCCTCATTTCCTCAGAAGCGCAAGCTCTTGAATCTGTGGCAAAAGCAGGAGTAAATATTAGCGATGCAGTGAAAAAATCTGACGAACTTAAAGAACTGCAGTTAATAAGAGAACTAAGAAACAAGAGACTAGAACGACAAGCCCTAGAAAAACAAGGAAAAGGGTTTAAAATCATTGGATAAAAATGGCAAGCAAAAATTACAGATTGGATCCAATCTTTCAATTGTATGATCCGATTCAATATTCGTTCAACAAGAAGAAAGAGGATTATGTAATCATCTCACCATCGGTAGGGACAAAGACCCAAATAAACGACGGAGGAAGAGTTACCTTTGAAATTAATTCGTTGTCCAATTGGTTGCTGATTTCCGATGCCCATTTCCGATGCGATTTCAAAATCAAAGACGCCACTCAGAATCGAATTCAACAAACCAATACGACTTTAGAAACTTCTTTCCGTCTTTATTCAGCGAAATGGTTTTGGAAGCTGGTTCAAATCCGATAGAGACCATAAAACACCCGGCGAGTTTGACACAATGTTGAAAACGGTTCTGTATCCCAAAAACTACGATTCAGTTTCGGGATGGATTCCCGATGTTGGTGACGGAGAAGTTTTAAAAGAACCGGTAAGAAATCTTGCAAATGATGCCGATTTAGCTAGAGTTAGAGTTGTTGCTAGAAACACACTGGAAAGAGTGACTCGCGGAGTAAATCACGGATTTGAAAAACGAGCGCTTCAATACAACAATGTTGTCGAGAACAACAGATGGGGTAATTACGTTAATTGGAAGTTGTATCCTTTATTTGGTCTTTTGGAACACAGAAAGGTTTTCATAGGTTTACCGTATAAAATTCATTTGCAAAGAGAAATCAACGACAACAAGATATTCTTTGGTGAAAACAACTCTGACGCAAAATTGGAAATAACGAATATCCAACTTTACATACCGGTAATCACTCCTTCCGTAGAAGTGGAAACGAGAATATTCAACTTTTTAACCAAAGACATCGAAATTGCTTTTCTTCGTCGTAACGAAGTAGGTAGCATGACTTTAACGGGAGAATCCACCACGTGGCCAATCACCAACACCGTCAAACCAGCGAGATATCTAATGGTCGGTTTCAAAAACTTGCCAGACTCTCAGACAAACAACAACAACATTTTCAGAGTGGCATTGAACCATACTCAAGATCCCATCATTCGCACAGTTCAAGTCAGATTGAACAACGATAATTATCCCAATCAACCTTTGACAATTGATCCTTCCAAAAAAGATTACAACGAATTGTACAGAAACTATAAAAACATGTGCGAATTGTTTGGAAATACGCCTCAGTTTGAATACACAGATTTTTCACTCAATCATCCAATCTTTTGTTTCGATCTGTCAGCCCATCAAGAAGATCTTTTCAAAACAGGGGTAAACATAAATATTCACATCGATAAAACACAAGGAGATGTAACCGGCTACTGTTTATTGCTGGAAGAAGCAAAACATTTGATTAAAATATCAGATAGAAGAATGATAAGAATTGAATAAAAAAACACCCTTTAAAAATGAAACCAGAAACTTTAGTTATGAAAATAATAGAAGCTATCGAAACGAATTCGCCGACTCTAATAACTTACAACGGTAAAAAAGTGCATATAACCCAAAAGATTATCGATAAATACAAACATTGCAAAGTCAGACACGATATAGACTTGGAAAGAATTGATGAGAATTTAACTAAAAAAGGTGGATTTTTACCTTTCTTACCTTTAATCTTTGCTGGTTTAGCTGCAGCTGGTGCAACTGCTGGTGGAGCTGCTGGGATATCCAAAGCTGTCAACGATAAGAAAGCTGAAGCCGCTGCAAACGCCGAAGCGCGTAGACACAATTTGGCAATGGAAAGAGAAGCACGAGGTGGTTCGGGAGTATGAGATATATTAGGGACGGTTAAAGAATTTGGACAAAGATTTGGCGAAGAAACCAAGAAAACCGTTAAAGAGGGATTAAGCAAATTAATAGATAAAATCGACACTGGAGAAATGAAGGTCAAACACAAGGGCAACGCCATATTTTTTAAAAACATACCTTCAGGCGAGGGAATCTTCCTTTCAAAGTATAAAGGCAACGGGGTGATTTTTGGTACGAAAATGTAATAAATAAAAATGGGCAAGAAATTCAAACATTCGGACATATTTCCTAGTAACCCAATGCTCATGTGTATTTGCGGTAGTTCAGGTTCTGGGAAAACTCATCTCACTTTTAACATGTTGACAACACCAAACCGTTTAGAATTCGATTCTCTGTATATCTACACAACAACACCAGAGCAATCGTATTATCAATTCCTCAAAGCTTTAGAATATTTACCAAAGAAAGACGTTCAAGACATATTTCAATATTACGAAGAAAACGAAGAAGAAGTGGAAATAAAAGATATCATAGAAAACTTCATTAAATCAAAGAATCCATCTTTCAATCCAACGGATATAAAAGTTTTTCTTACGAAAAATGTTAATGATCTAGACTTGTCTAATATTGATAGCAATCGAAAGAACTTAATATTGTTTGACGACTGCATAGCGCAAAGAAATCAAACTGTTCAACAAGAATTCTTCACCAAAGGAAGACATCACAACTGTCACTGCATATACCAATCCCAATCTTTTTACGGGATGGATTCTATATTCAATAGAAAAAATGCAAATTGTTTTTTATTATTTGAATTAAATGATAAAGATTTATCTCAAATCATTCAGTCTATAAATCACGGAAAGGATAGAGATACATTTAAAAAGGTTTGTAAAGCTCAATGGAGAAACCCAGATGATCATGGATATGTATTTGTAAATACTAGAAAACCTGCGGGAGAAAGAGTTATGATCGATATATGTTAATTTTATTTTTTTAAAAATGACGGATTGGAATAATTTTTTAAAAAGAAATAGAGAATATATCAAAGCTAAGAAAAAAATAAAGACCCAAGTTGAAAATAACAGATTGCAACAACTCGGATTAACGGAAAATCTCTATTTCACCCATATTAAAAAGTCAAGAAGATATTAAAAAGAGACTCGTTATAGAACCCACCCCTCATATAGAACCCAAAGCGATTGAATATAATGGTATTATAATTAAGACATTAGATGATATAAAACGTCTTTTTTCAAACCCTGACCCAGATTTACCAAAGAGTATTTCACCAATCATTGATGAAGTGGGGTTATTGTTTAATGGTTTTAGAATAAGATTTAGTGGAAATTCACCACAATTCAAAATCGACACAAAAGACTTTATATTTACATTAACGAGAGGGTTAATAGATTTAATGAATGGCGAGGATGTTGAAATTGCCGATTACAAGGATTTAGTAGCATACTCAAAATTTCTACATGCGATCAGAAAGTCAGGACCCGAAACAAGAATATTGAAAGAAGTTGATTTATATATAACAAAAGTTATTGAGCAAGAGGATGTAGATGATTATGCAGAAGAGTATCCACCAATAATACAAGAAATAGACGAATTCGAAGATATGGTGGCATCTGGACAAGGTATAACTTTTTTATCCGACAACAATAAAGAATGCTTAATAGATTAGAAATAATATTAGCGGCCATGAAGGAAGGTCATCAATTGGACAGCCAATACAACGAAGTCAATGGCATATTAAAACGGCTTTTGGAGAAAAAAATCATCACTAAAAAAGACTATATAAACGTCATTAAAAATGTCCAATAAAGAACAATTGTTCGTTATCACCTCGAATAAATCAGACATTAAATTGTCTCTAGACTACGAGTATGAACTCGATCGCAATAAACAGTACGAACTGGGATTAAAGTATTTCTCCGTTTACAATTCCATAAGAAACATCAACGAAAAAAACAATCAACTAAAAATATCGACGGATAACGGAGTTACGTTCAAAACCATAAGCTTACTAGCGGGA